ATTATTTTGTATGAAACAAACGTCTGGAATAATTAATAATAATTTGTTTTTTTTTTATTTAGTTACGACATCGATGTGCTATTATTATTATTATTATTATTATTATTTTATTATTATTTTTAATTGATCAAATAAATTAAAAAGCAGAAGAAATTTTTTGTTATGTAAAAATATAATTTGCGAGTAAAGTATCATGACGGGTGCATCGTTATTTCTTCTTCTTTTTTTATGTAATATACAATTAATTCGTTTCGGTTGGAATCCTCTTCTCCCCCCCACACACACCCACTTTCTCCTTTTCCAGAAGCGTTCCAGAAAAAGGGAAGGGAAGGGGGAGGGTGTGTGGAAAACGCGATTTCAAATTTGAAATTTTTAACCGTCGGCGATAATTTTAACGGCACTTGCCTTGTTGTCCATGTGATTGTTGTTTGTTTTGTCCTGACAAACTGAAATGGCGTAAAAAAAAATAAACAAACGCGTCGCCATTTTTGAAAAAAATGAAGGAAACGTCTCCTCGTTATGATGACGTCATTATTTTATTAATTCTGCCTGAAACAAAACAAAAAAAACGTTATAACAATAAAATATTTATTTCTACCGCCATTTTGAAAATGTTTTCGTAAAATTACCCAGTAACGGAAATAAAAAAATTTTTTTTAACGGTTTTTTTTTCTTGTTTTCTCCAGGTTGACACAATAGGATAAAAATGGATGATCAAACGGCTTTCGTACTCGCTCTTCAACTCATAGCTCTTTGCACGGTCGTGAGTGCTTTGATACTTTATCTAATGTGCAGAATACGAAAAAATCATTTCACGCCATTTTCGGATAACGATGACTTGACGTATGTGAACATTGGCGGAGGTAATTTAACTACAAACTAAACATACATTTTTTCTTCTGCTGGAATTTTACTCGTGTCATTGACTGAAAGAAATAAAAAAATTTCACTCGAAACGTTTCCAGGTTTCGACGTTTCAAAAAGAAAAATGGCGTCTTACCAAGTAAAAATGCATTCAATGTTATCAGTGCGTTAAACGCGATATTTCATAATTTCGCTATTATTATTATTATTATTATTATTGATTTTCCAACGGGATTTTTCAAATGAATTCCAGTATAAATAATTCTCGAATGTTTTCCGATCGAGACTTTTCTCGTTTTCCCAATCTTCGATATATCTCGCGATTAGTAATTAAATAATTTTCCAAGAATTTTAAATTAAAATATTTTTGTCTTCGGGTGTTTGGCGTTTCGCAACGATTTTCAACTCCTCTTCATCACCGCCATTTTCCAATATTCTCATCAATATCATATTGAAACGTCATCGATTCCTTTTGCGATCGATTTGATTGATTATAGATTCTTATTAATAAAAATTCTCCCACTTATGCACGCACACACACACACGCACGAGACGAATTCAATTAAAAAAAAACGTTTATGGAAAATTAAATAAAAAAATTATTTGTTCGTTAATTAATTAATTAATTAATAATTTTCTTCGATTTCCTTTTCCAGGATTCAACATTCCACACGTGTGTGCGTGTGTGTGTTCTTCTACTGCCACGCATTTTTTTTCTTTTTTTTTTTTAATTATTTCATACTTCGTTAATTTTTTACGTTGCGTTTCATAAAAACTAAAAAAAAATTAACCAATATAGAAAATTTCATTTATTATTTCGAAATATGGAACGAGTTATTTCATTATTATTATTATTATTTACTGTAATATAATATCGTTTCTCTCGCCATTTTTTTTTCTTTTTTCAAATTCTTCAAACCCGTAATTATTAAAACCACCTGCAAAAAAAAAAAGAAAAAAAACTTTTAATGAAGTGTCGTAAATGATGTTTATTTAATAACATTATTATATAGGTAAAGGAATACTTGTAACGTCCCTGGACAACATGCTCGGACTCCAGTTAGCCTATCATTTGGCGACGAGAGGTTTTAGAGTTTTTGCCGGAGTTAAACCTTCCGGATACGAAGCGGACGGACAAAATGTGGTCATCGAATCGGAATCGTCGATACCTAAAAAAATTCTCGAGGCCAAATGGAAAAAATTCGAAGCTTGTTGCAAGAAAGAAGAAAATGAAAATTTTGTGGGTTTGGTCGTTCTTCCCCTGGACGTGACGCGTGAGGATCTTTTGCACGAAGCTCTCGGAACCATACGAAGACATTTACCTGCAGGAGAAGACGGTAAGTCAAAAGTGATAGACATTGTCATCAAAGTGTCGCCAAAATATTAAAAGTTTTATTAAGAGTTAACTTGACGACGACGACGACGACGACGACGACGACGACGACTATTACCAAGTGTAAAATTTATTATTACGCGTTATTTCAATCGATTGTGTAATCGTTATTATTATCTCTCTCTCCCTCTCTACACTTTATAAATATTATTATTACGTTACAAGTAAAAAAAATCAAAACTTTTATAAAATATTAATAATAATAATAATGATTCATTGCCAATAAGTTCGAGCGAGTAAAATCCAAAAGAAGTAATTACGATTTAAAAAAAAAAAAAAAAAAACTTGAAAACCTTTTTACGAACCTAAAAAAAAAAAAAAAATAAATAAATGCGCCTACGTAAAATTTATTTATTTTTTCACGATGAAATTCACGCCTTGAAACTAAATGAAATAATAATAATAATGATGATAATTTTCGTCATCGATGGTAATTAAATGGTAATTAATTACCAATTAAAAAATAAATTGTTAAAGTTGTTTGTTTACTTACTTACCTTTTTTTTCCCTCCCTTCCTTTCTTCCGTCCTCCCTTCCTCCTCTACCATCTTTCCTCCTCCTCCCTCCTTCCTTCACGTTCCTCCCACTTTTTGTTTTTTCGAAACGTTTAAAACTCCAGAATGTAAAACATGATGGAACATGAAAATTTTTCTTTTCATCCTAACGCATGACGTTAACTAAAAGAAAATTATTATTATTATTATTATTATTATTATTATTATTATTATTATTAGTAGTAGTAGTAGTAGTAGTAGTAGTAGTATTATTATCATTAATGAATGATATCAATCATTCCAGGAATGTTTTTTTGTTTACATTATCATTGGTGCATTTCGACATTTTATCAATAATATTTCTCTTATCATCTTCATCTTCATCATCTTCATCATCTTCTTCATCTTCATCTTCATCTTCTTCTTCTTCTTCTTCTTCCTCCCTCCTTCCTCCTACCCCCTCCCCATTCGTCTGTTACGGTCATTCCAACCTGGAAAAAAATAAAAATAAATAAATATATATTTTTTTCATAGCGCTATAATAATTAACCGATTTCTATTTTTTTTCGTAAATGATTTTACCACGAGGTTAATGATTACAATAAATTTCATCGAACCGGAAATTAATTTCTCTCTCTCTCTCTCTCACTCACTCATTTGGCCAAAAAAAAAAAAAAAAAAAAAAAAAAAGGAAAGTGAAAATAATCGGTTGATCAATCATTTGACTATATATATATATTTGAATCTATTTACGCGGTTAAAAAAAAAAAAAAATGAACGTATGTATGTAAATATGGTCGATTATATATATATTTTAATAGTAGTCTTTTAGTAGACGCGGATTTCCTGTGTTAAAAAAAAAAAAAATCATTTTTCGGTTTGTTAACTTTTTAAAATTCTTAAAACGTACCTAAAACCTAAAACAATAATAATAATGATTGTTTCCTTTATTCGTACGAATAAATAAAAACAAACGAACGTTAATAATAATAATAATTTTTAAAAGAGACAATAGTGTTATAGCAAAACGATTCGTAACTTAACAAAACAAACAAAAATCGAACGTTTGTTGTTGTCGTCGTTTGTTGTTTTTGGCGTTCGGTTTTACTAAAAAAAAAAAAAGTTTAATGAAAGTTTTTTTTAAATATATTTTTCTCAAACGTTTTTGTCGTCGTTTGTGTTGTTTGTTGTTGTTTGTTGGTTTCGTGATTGTATTGAGGTCAAGACCAACCCACAAAGTAAATTTTTTTTTTTCCTTTTGGCTATGTTTCTTTTTAAATTTTTTTTTTTGAAATATATCGAAAAATATGTATGCTAATATCAGTGGCGTAAAAAGGTTTTAAGTTTTTTATTCGTTACGAAACGAAAAAAGAGAAAAAAACTCGTCTGTGCCGTTAAAAAAAATTTTTTTTCGCGGGAGGGAGGGGGGGGGGAAACATACGCGAAGAAATAACATGTAAAAATGGCGATGATGACGACATTACATAACGAGAGTTTTATAGATACCCTACGCCAAATTGGCACCAGAGAGTTTCATACCGTAAAAAAAACATTTTCAAACGTTTCCAAAAATGCTACCGTATAGGGCATCACGTATCTAACGGCTATAATAGTAGTGCTACTACGTTCCAAGGTAAAAAAAAGTTTATATGGAAAACGTAGAGTAAAAATTCATGGCACGATTAAAAATTTTTTTTTTAATTTTTAACGCGTACCTGATTTTAAAAAAAAAACAAACCAAGGACTTGTTCAACTAGGGTGATGTGTGTAATTAGAACAATAAAATCTTAACCTAATTATATATCCTTAAGGATAATTAATAATAAAATTAACTTAATTCGATTCGAAATAAGAAGAAAAAGTTTTAAAAAAAATAATTTAGTCGGTTGTTTTTTTTTCCCTAGAGGTCAAAAGTTCGTATTAAAACTTTCTCCAAAATGAAAAAAAAAAAAAAATGCGGTTATTTTTTTTTTTGATTTGATCTTTTATAAGATTATGATAACACGACCGAATACCTAAAACAACAATAGAGACCGTATTAAACTTTTTTAAATCTGAATGAAATTTATTATTATTATTATTAATATTCGGGTGACATGAATTGATAAACTGGTACGAGAAGGGGTTTGACGATGATAATAATAAAACGGTTATTATTATTATTTTTTTCTTTTTTTTATTGACAGGTTTGTGGGCAGTTATTAACACGGCAGGTTCACCTTGTCGGGGACGTTTGGAAAATCAAGATTCTCCCTATTGGGACGCAGTAATGAAACAAAATGTCACGGGAACATTAAAAGTGGCCAAAACATTTCTACCATTATTGAGAAACAAAAAAGGTAAACGTATATGCAATTAACGGTTTTTCCCTCCCCCCCCTCTCTCTCTCTCTCTTTTTTTTTGTTTCGTAACGAAATTGTTGTTTTCTTTTTCTTACCGGAATAAAGGACGTTTGATAAACGTCGGAGCCAAAGTTGAAAATTGCGATGATGAATCACAAACATTGGTCGCAGATACGGCAAGCAGGTACGCTGTAGAAGGTGCGAGTGCTGCATTGAGAAAAGAAATGAAACATTTGGGCATAAAAGTGATTACTTTTCATCCTGAGGGTTTGCCCATATCACGTTTATTTTCATCACCAACGCAATCGTCAATGTGAGTATCCTCTCTCTCTCTCTCTCTCTCTTAAACTCAAACCCTAAAAAGAAAAAAAGAGTTTTATAATTTGGAAAATTCAAATTAACTATCGTTAAAATAAGAAAGAAAAAGAAAAGTTTTATCACCTTGTAACGGTTAATATCGTCGTCGACAAAGAACAAAAGAAATTTTAAAATAATAAAACATTTTTTTTTTTTTGTAAACGTTTAACGGTCGTTTTTCTTTAACGTTTCTATGACGTAATGTAATTAATAAACGCAATATGCAATTCTGTAAATCCTAAAAGAAAAAAATTATTGATTATTAAACCTCAAGGGTTTAATGTGGTGGTGGTAAAACTTTAATTATAAATAAACCAGGTATACTTTTACCTTGTGGTTGACTAAAAAAAAAAAAAAAAAAACAAAATTGTTTTTTGGTTAATGAATATGAAAATTGCTTTCACTAATTTTTTTTTTTTTTTTTTATAATTTACCAAATGACTAAATTACTATAATTTTTTTTTGTAAAATCAACTCTCAATATTTATTACCTTTTATATTCCATTCATGTATTATTTGTTGTTGGTTTTGTATGATAAATTTTTCCATTCATAACATAATGTTTTAGATAAAAAAAGAATAAGGTTTTATGTTTCATTTTTCTTCTTTCTCTCTTTCTCTCTCTATCTTTTTCTGTATTTATCTGTCTTCTTTATGTAGTGAGTCTCATCATCATCATCAACAGCAAACATATTCCCTGAAAAATATTCAAGAAATTGAAATATAATGATTTCATGACAATTTTCTCTCTCTTTGATTATTTGAGACAAACATAAATAAAATTTATGAAATTGTTTTGTGTTTCTTTGAGCTTTTAAAAAGAAATGTTTGTACACTCACCCATTATACCCATTGAAATCTGAAATCTGAAAGATGAACTTGATTGTATTTTCCTCAACAAATAAGTTTGTTAATAACTTTTTTCCTGTTTTTTGTTTCTTGTTTTCATTAAAATCAAATTGTTTTGACTGTTTTCCTTTTATTAATTGCGACAAACAAGTTTTATATGTCCATATTAAATTGAGCAAATATATTTGTGTGTTGCACTATTGGCTATATAATTAAATATTCAAAAAAAAATTTGTTAATTTTGTTTAATGAAATATTAGTTATGTTTATGAAATGTTTTTCACATACAGGAAGTTTCATTTTTAAGCAAAAACTGATTGAATTAATTATATAATTACAGTAAAACAGGTGCAGATGGATATGCCGAACATGATATAGCCGTACTTCCACCAACATCACTTGAAGTCATAGAAGAAGCTGTTTTGTCAGATCCGCCAAAAGCAAGTTACACATTGTTAAAATCTCCAGGATTTTTCAGAATAAAAGAAAAAATCGTTAATTTAAACAAAAAAATTCAAATCGTTTAAATTTCGTACAAACGTTTGGAGTTTTTTCCATTCGTACGCCATTTTGTTGCATCATTTCTAATTCGCTTAGATTTTGCATGGCGTCCTTATTTTATTTTGTTATTTTATCGTTACAAAAGTATTTTTACCGTAATTAGCAAAAGCCTTCCTCTTTTCTTCGTAATTAATTAATTCTTACACTTCATTTTTTTAGTTTTTACATAAATACAAAATAATTTATGAATTTTTTGTGACAAAGTCAACGAACGAACTTTTCAAATGTGATTCAATGTTCTAAAACGGTTAAATTAAATTTTTTTTTACTACGTCATCAAATCAGCGATTAGAAAGACATATTTTTTTTTCATCGTTTGTTTTTTTTTTGTCTTATCTTGAAATTTAATACCTTTTTATATACAAAAAAAATTTTTTTTAACGCCGACAAATAAAAGAGGAACGTTTACAACGCATTAAAAAAAAAAAAAAAAAACAAAATTAAAAAAATAAAACAACGAGAGGAAGCGCGAGAGGAAAAGGAAACAATTAAAAAAAATATTTTATAAAGAATGACGTCACAACATGGACGCTAAAATAATAAAGAAAGAAAGAAAGAATTAATTACAAACCTTTTCTGGTTAAATTACAAGGACGGAACAAACAAATAAATAAAAATGTGTTGTAATCAAATTATTATTATTAATAGTTGTAGCAAATTTTGCTCAGTTTTTTTTTAATAAAAAATTTTAAAAGAGGCCAGAAATATATAATTAATTAATTAATATGATTTTCTGACTGATTTTACTGTGTGCCTTAAACGCCCGGTATAAATGCTCACGTCAAAATAATAATAATAATTAATTATTATTATTATTAAATTAAAGAGAATTGGTTTTCTTTCTCTCTTTAATTTAAACAAAAATGGAACAAATTAATAATATATGTATACATACAATTATTATACCTGTAGATTAAGTTTGCCATTATTTGACTGATAATAAATTTTTATACGCCAAATAAACAAATGAAAATAATTTTTTTTTGTATGTGTGAAGTTTAAAAAAAAACTATATATATATGTTTAAGTATTGTTGCTATTAAAAATTTATAATTTAAAAAAAAAAAAGAAAAGTTTTTTGTGCTACATTTTTGCGTGTTATTAACCCCCCCATTTGCATTTATGTCTCATACTCAATCATATATATTTTTGTAATTAATATAATATATTTATATATATATAATTAAAAATAATGATTTATTTTATTTATTTTATGATTTTCCATCCTGTGAAATACCTTAAAAGAGTTTTAAAACATGTAGAGAATCTGTCAAGTGTAAAATTCATCAGGTTTAGGTTATTTGAAATCCAAGATGGCCAAAACTAACAATTGACAATTTAAACTGATTATGTTGTTTTAAACAAATGAAAATAAAAAAATTAATTGAGGAATTAATGATCTAGACTTTATCTCTATAATCCCACCAATATCTCTCTACTTTCTGGTTCTATTCATGATGTGTACCTGTAGTTCCTTAGAACTTATCATACAGCAAACTAGACAATTTTTATCTAATTTATTATAATCCTTTAAAACCCAACTTATAGAGTAAATGTATTAATGCACACAATATAAAGTTCAAGTAGAAATCAATGTGCTATTATATCTACCAATTGATGTACTTGTTGGATCTGAAGTGAAGTTCCAAATCTGGTTCTTTAACTCTGTCTCTGACTACCTCTAGACTTTATCTGACTAACTGATGGATTAGACAGAGTCTTACAAACCAACTGACTAGACTGTATCTGTAGTTTTGAGTGCCATTATGTATATATAGATCAATACAATCAATCCATTGACTAATCAATCACCTTGTGCAAGTGTTCTGGATCTCTAACTCTGTCTGACTCAACAACTAACTCTAGACTATATCTGACTCTGATGGATTAGACTGACTAGACTGTATCTGTTGCTTTGAGTGTCATTATTTATATATAGATCAATACAATCAATCCATTGAATAGAATTCATCAGTTAGTACTGGTGCAAGTGTTTAAAATGGCTAAGGGATGAATAGGGTAGGTATTTGAATTAGTGTTTATTGATTGTATAATGTCACTTAAAACTGACCAGATAAGATATCAACTGTCAAAGGAAACCATGATGATGTTTTTAACCATAATTGTACATTTTATTGTTTTTTTTATGTTGTTTTCTATTGTTATGAGTATCCAGGAAATTGGTGTTGGTATTAAATATAAGTGTCATCATCAAGACATCCAAGCTTTGTTAATGTGAATCCTTTGGAACTCAATTCATTGAAATAATAATAATTATTAATTATTACTTACTTATTATTATTACTGATTACTTAATACAAGTAATCAGACGTTAGTGGTAGGTAAGACCTTGGATCATATCCTGACTTTTTGAAATTCAACTGTCAAAAAAAGGTTCACAAATAGAAGAATCAAATCAAACTCACACAGATAGAAGAACATCAACATTTCCAGAATTATGGAAACTGATTGAAGTATCCATGAAGTATCCAAAGGAATAACGACTAAAATAAAAGAATTTAAGGATAGACATAGACAGAGAGTGGGTAGCAACACTGGAAGCCATCTTTACTCTCCATTAAAAAACTATTTAAACAACACACACACACACACACACATGACAAATTAACGCAATAAAGTAATAATAATAATAATAATTTTATATTTATTTATTTTTTTTTATACAAAAATGTACACGAAAAATTTAAATTAATAAAAAAAAAAAAATTGTTTTTTGTTTCCACACTTATTATTACCAACGAGTAATATTTAAAGTGTTTTTCTTTTTTTTTTTCCATTCAACTCTCTCCTTCCTGTCGCCTGCCCGATTCATATTGAAAAAAAATTTAGGTAACAAATCACAATTTAATTACCGTAAACAATAATAATAATGATAACAACAGCGTTCGTCAAAAAAAATACAAATCATTACTTATTAAAAATTGTAATAATAATAATAATAATAATACCGACGGTTTTAATTGTAATTGTAATTTTGATATTGTCATTTTTATTTTTCCTTTTTTTATTCGAAAAAGTAATAATAGTAATAATAGTAATAATAATAATAATAATAATAATTGTTTGTTTGTTTTCAACCCAGCAAAACTTTCCTGATGAGATCAGAATCGACTTCGATTTCATTCTTATCGTCGATGCAACTCGAACTGCAAAGATACTGAAGGAGAGGAACTCTATATTTACCGCAAAAATCAACGAATTTAACATGTTCGACTCTGCTATCGAAGAACACGCCTGCCAACAAAACAAAACAAAACGAAATCATTTATTTATCACGCAGGGGGTCCCTCACACGCACACGCACTCACCCTTGCATTTCGGATTAATGCAATGTCGAGCGTTGTTCAAATATTCCAACAAACGTTTGGGCAAATCCTTCGGACTGAATTTAACCGAGTGAAGTTTTATCGATCTCGCCGCCAATTCTAACAAAGATGGAACCGCGTACGTCATGTCGGAAACGAAACGAACGACGAGAGGATTATCCCTCAGACTCAACTGCAAAAAAACAGAAATAATAATAATAATAATAATTAATAACGTACATTAACGACGATGATAATAATAATATATTTTCTTTCTTTCTTTCTTCGATATCAGACGAAATTAGGAAAAACCAAACAAAATAACCGATATATCGAAACGAGAAAAAGTGATAAGAAAGAGAGATAGATAATCAATCATCGATTCGATACATCGAACGAATGACGTCATCATCATAACTCGCTCACCTCCGTCATGCATTTCAACGAAACAATTTCCGTCGGTAACGTTTTCAATTTGTTCTTGTGCAAAAGCAAAGATTTCAATTCCGTCAATTTGGCAATTTCCCTCGGGAGCGATTCCAGCTGATTGTCGCTCAATATGAGAGCCGTTAATTTTTTCAATTGTCCAAGTGTTGAGGGAACGTCCGTCAATTTGTTTCCGCCCAACGATAAAACTTGCAAACTGCAAAGAAACAAAATCGAAAAAATTTATTTTAAAAAAAAAACCGTTGGCGACGGGAGCGACGTCACGCGGACTATTTCACAATTAACAAAATCAAAATGGCCGATTGTTTGTTTTACCCGCCACTTTTCCGTTTCAAAAATAAATAAATAAATAAAAACTCATTCACCTTCGGACATTCATCGTAGCAAAATTTCAAAAAAAAAAAAAAAAATTAAAAAATTAAAAAAAATCGATACACGGTTACCAACTTTTCAAAACGGCCGACATTTTAACCCTGGATAAAAAAAAAAAAAATTACCGACGGCCGTGACTAGGGATTATCATTATTATTATTATTATTTAAATATTACTTGTTAATTAATTCCGAATAGAAAAAATTTTTTTTTTTTTTTTTTTAAATCAGGTAAAACTCGTTTTTTTCTTTTCTTTTGATTTCATCTATTAAATCGGTCACTCTCCAGTTTCACATAACAAAATAATAATAATAATGATAATGATAATAATAATGATAATAATAAAGAAATCGTCACCTTTGCAATTTGCTTATTTCCTTCGGTATCTTTGATAAATTGTTTCCGCCCATGTACAAATACCGTATGCTTTTCAAATTCAATATTTCCGGTGGGAAATTCGCGAAATCGTTTCCGCTCAAATTCAATTCTTTCAAATCCGTCAAATCCGTGAAAACCGGCGGAAGACTTTTGTCCGAGAGCCGATTGTTTTTCGCAATGAGAGTCGTGAGAGGGCACAAACCGATTTCCGGCGGAAGTCGCGAGAGTCCGTTCGAACTTATGTCCAAATATTTGAGTCGTCCGAAACGACCTATGACTCCGGGAACGGCGTCCATCGAATTCTGGTAGAGGAGAACGGTCGTGACGTCATTTCCGCTTTCCCTCAACTCGTCGAGTTTTTTCCTCATCTGTTCGGAATCGAATCCGGAATATGATAGATCTAACGTTGACACATCTTCGTCTTCGCTTGAACAATCGTACTCGTTCGCCGAATAATATTCCATTTTATGTCAAACCTGAAACGACATTTTTTTTCACCATTAATAATAATGATAATAATGATGATGATGATAATAATAATAATAATAATAATAATAATAATTTTTTGAAAGAGTTCAAACGAGGAAAGTGGAAATGCAATAAATAAGTGGTCTGCAAACGACGACGACGACAACTTATCTTACCGCCTTGAGCTTTTTTTCCCTATTATTATTATTATTATTATTATTATTATTATTATTATTATTATTATTATTATTATTATTATTATTATTATTATTATTATTATTAAATTAATATCATAGAGTAAAAAAAAAATAAAAAAAATTCATTTGATAAAGTTTAAATAAAAATTTATAGAATTTTTCCAATCGATGCGAGCACACACACATAATTAACGAATCGCCATGATTTACCGCAAACGACGGTATCAACAATTAAATTTTTTTTTTTTTTTTTTTTTAAATACCTCGCATTAATAAATTAAAAAACGTTTAAACTTATGAATAAACAATAACAAACTACAAACAACAAAAACAAACAACAAAACGGACAAAAACGCGATCGGTACACGTTTGTTGTCGCGACGGATTTTCAAATCGAATTGTTTTGTGCTCGTTCGAACCCGTTGACATTTTTTCCATTCGATTAATTTTATTATTAATGACAATTCGCGACGACGACGACGACGACGACGACGTAATTCATTTTTTTTTTTTTTTTCATCTCGACGGATGTGAAAAAGAGAGAGAGAGAGAGAGAGAGAGAGAGAGTAAAACTCACCTCCGTCACCGGACCGAAAAAATCCACAACGTGCAAACTCTTGCAAATCATAACAAACAACCACAACCACCATCACCACCATTAACAACAAACTTAAGTATATATATATATATATAAATTTTTAAACCGGTATAATAAATCAATCAATCAATCAATCAGTGAATGAGATCATTTTTTTTTCTTTACTATCATCGAATGATATCATTACTAAACCTTCGAAATATCAAATGACTGCGTAATAATTTCATTTCTAATAATAACTTTCTCGAACAAAACAAAAACAAAAACAACAAAAAAACCGGAAACAGAACTTTCTTTGAGATTTTTAAAAAATCATTTAACCGGAAAACAATTATATAAATAAATAAGTAAACAAACAAACAAACAAACGAAAGAACAATTATCAAGTTTTTCGTTCAGAGTCGAATTCTTTTCTCTTTCTTTCTTTCATTCGCGTGCGTCTTCTGCTTTTTTATTAATTCCAAGTTTAGGTTTCCTTTTCCTTTTCCGATTTAACAAAACGCGGATTCAATACGATATTTTTATCATCATTTAATCTTATTTAAAAAAATAAATAAATAAGTAAATAAATCAAAATCATTACGTAAAACACCTCGAAATCGTTTAGATAAGGTGTGTGTATGTATATACGATGGCTGTTAAAGAGAGAGAGAGAGAGAGAAAAAGAGAGAGAGAGATATCGATGACAATAATCTCGCTGTTCAAATAACTTATAGTTCAAGTATGTAACAATCATAATCTATTCATCAATTATATGCGCAGAGAAGCAGAAAGAGAGAAAGAGAGAGAGAGAGAGAGAGAGAGAGAGAGAGAGAGAGAGAGAGAGAGAGAGAGACAGAGAGAAGAAAACGTAATTTACGAAAAAAAAAAAAAAATTTTTTTTTGACGGTTATTACTCGCGCTGTCGTTTCCCAAAGGAAATCCCCCAAGTTTTCGACGGAAGTGGAAGAACGAAAAAAGTTTTTGGTACGAATGCATAGGAAAACACGAAGGGTACTCCCTCGTGAAAATTCTCTTTATCAAAAATGCATTATCATCATCATCATCACATCATCATCATCATCATCATCATCATCGTAGTAGAATAATTCGAAACAGTAGGAAGTTGGAACCACCATAAGACAAGGTCACTTTGATATCTATAATTATTGCCATTTTCAACTCATTAATTTTTATTATTTTAACCCGTACGTAATTTTTCACGTCCTTCGATGCAATCTTTGACGACTACGACGACGATGACAACAACAACAACAACAAACGCAACGTCGCGAAAAAACAAAACCAAAACGCATTCTCTCTCTCTCTCGTTTTTCTTGTGACACGCGTCACGTACGCAATCCAATTAGAAAATTAAAAACAATTTTTTATTCACGTCGTCGATATCGTCCAAACTTTTTTTCCTCGGGCGCAAAAAAAAAAAAAAAAACACTCGCACGGTAAATAAAAGTCGGAAATATACCGAAAACAAACAAACAAACAAACGAAAGAACGAAAATAACAAACAATAACCGCAAGGGACTTTGGTAAAGTACCAAATAAACGTCACTTAAAAATAAATAAATAAAAACAATTAACCTAAAAAAAAAAAAAAATTGAAAATTTGGCATCGACGCACGTAACGACGATTCAAATCAAGCAGAAGAAAAAAAAATTTTTTTTTTTTTTTTCGTTTTCACATCCATTTTCTTTTCTTTACTGTGTCCTCCTCACCCTTCCAACTATCAACCACCACCTCTCAACGGAGGATCAACACGAAACGGTCACACACGACCACGACGACACCATCCCTCCGTCGAAATCATTTCTAATCCCTCAGGACGCGAATGGGAGGAGGACAATAATCGTCGACAAAATCGTCCCACAACATCCGCCGCCACGAAATACATTAAATGCATCATGTGATGCGTTACACACACACACACACACACACACACACATTCAACACACGTGGAATTATCCGTGTCGAACTCGAGTGAACTTTCTTTTACACGACCGATATTTTGTTACTAATAATAATAATAATAATAATAATAATAATAATAATAATAATCTCACAGTTTTTATCCTTGACACATAACAACAACACCCAAAACATTAAAACATATGCTCAAATACAACACTGGAAGAAGATTTTTTTATGTTTTTTTTTTTTTTTTTGTGAAAAAGTAGGTCGCGTTCGCGTCTTTACTTACTCAATACTTTGCTTTATTTAAAAAAAAAAAAAAAAATTCATCTGGTAAACATCGTAATCGCCGCCATCACCATCGCCACCACTACCACCACCACCACCACCACCTCTGCCACAACCACCGCACGTGAATAAGAATCCCATTAATTTTGAATTTTAAACGTTCCGTTTTCACAAACCACTTGGATAATTAATTAATTTATATGACGATGACAACAACAACAAACAACAAACAAAATTTGAATAATATATAAATAAAAAAAACAACCGATCAAGCGCACGCACTCACGCACTCACTCAATAAAAATAATAATAAAAATAATAATAAAAACAACTTTCGGTTTTTTTTCTTTTTTTTTCCTCAAACATCGTCTGCTACGAGAGAAAATAAATAAATAAATAAAAATAAACAAATTTCCGCGAGTTTTGGTTGTACCACCAAAAAACAACTCATGTGCGGGGGGCACACAAATTCAAACTAAAACATTTGGGAGTTGGGTCCGTCGTTTTGTTTGTTTGTTTGTTTGGTAGAAAAAGGGCCTCCTCCGCATCAACACGAACGAATTACGACGAAGACGACGACGACGACGACGATGATGATGATGATGATGATGTTTTCATTCGTTATTGTTGTCGTTGTTCGAGTAATTTATTTTTAGATTAAGGCCGAAATAATGAAGGAATTTTTTTTTTTTTTTTATCAGGTCAATACGAAATTAATATATAATTCTCTCTCTCTCTCTCTCTCTCTCTTTGTTTGCACGACAAACATTTAAAAAAAAAAAATTTTTTTGTCATTGTCCAACTACTACGCGACACCATATCCCCCCTATCTCTCTCACTCACGTACTTGCATCGCGACAAATGAGCACAACAACAACAAACAGACATTTTTTTTTTTTTTTTTGCCTCACCTTCCAGTTCTTTATCGCGTCTCGAACCCCTTAGACCATAAATTTCATTTAAACGAAGAATCCCGAAGATGATGTGGATGATGGTGATGGACCACGGAACGCAACGCAACGCAACACACGCACAAGATTTTTCACAATCAACCACTTTCGTTCACCATTTCGTTCAACGATAAAAAGACTCGACTCACCTTAGCAACACTGTTTCGTAACCTTTTCATTTTGTTTCACGTTGATTCCCGTAATCATCAACGACAATCCGACTCCTTATCTTAATTTTTCGATTATTTCTCTAAGTCAAGGTTACTAAACCTAAAAACAAAAAAAAAAAAAAAAAAAAAATCATTTTTTTTCTCTCTCGAGATTTTGGGTTGTCATTACGATCATAATTCGATTCGATATACGAAACCGAGGGGGGGGAGAGAGGGAGGGGGAGAAAACAAAAGAAAGAATAAACAATAATAACAACAAATTCGATGAACGATTCGCGTTGTTTTTGTAAATCGTAACCTATGATCGTAATAATAATAATAATTAATTAATACAACGCGACGACGACGACGGACAAAATCTTACGCGTTACGATGATAACAAACAAACAAACAAACAAATAAAACAAGACAAAAACAAAAACAAAGAAAATCGTGACGTGACTTACCACAGGCGATCGGAAGTGAACTTCGACGTTTTTGTACACAAACATTTTTCTTTCTTTCTTTATTAAAATTTTTTTTTTTTTAAAAAAAGTTTCTTTCTTTCTTTTTTTCTTCTTATATAAATAAAGATGAAAACTATAAAAAAAAAAAAAAAAAAAAAAAAAAAAACGAGGAGGTATATGAATGCGACGACGGCGACGACGGTAACGGTGACGGTGGTGACGACGACGACGACGACGAGTAATAATAATAATAATAATAACATCTAAGATTTTGAATACCACTTGAATTTTTTCTTTCCGACAATCTTCTTTTCGGAGTGAACGTATTTGCAGTCTGGATTTGTGCAATCCGTGTCGAACCGGCATTTTTTCGGATGAAAATAACGACAGTCGACGTTTTTACAATTCGGATAAAATTTACAACAGACTTGTGGTGCGGAACTCGTCGACGAACTCGTTCTTCTCCGAACCGGAGGACGCGAAGGAGAGGATTCTAAAACCAAAAAAAATAAAAAATAATTTTTTATCGTGAGGATCCCTCGTAAAACCCGTACAACCTGACAAACGATCGCGAAATTGCCATTAACAGTAGTAATAATAATAACAAATGAAAGTACAGAGAGAGAGAGAGAGGAAGGAAGGAAGGGAGAGAATGACAAACGTCCGCGAATCTGATCATCTCACTTCAACCATCTCCCCATCCTTTCTCCTTTTCCTTCCGTTGCGGAAGAAGAAAGAAAAGAGTAAAAGGAAGAAGAAGAAGAAGAAGATTCGCGAACCGTACGTGGAGGATGCGATCCTGACATTCCCCCCCCCTCCCCCGAAAAAAAAACAAAAATTTTCTACAAGTGCTTACCGTCGTCTCTCGTCGATCTCGTCCTCCTCCTCTCGGATTTTTTGTACTTTCCATTATTCCTGTCGTCATCCCTCCTGTCCAATTTTTTCGGTTCCCGAATTTTCCCATATTTCCTATCGTCGTCTCCGTCGTATTTACGCTTTTTATTCACGAAATCCCTATCGACTTTTCCAAACTTTTCCGACAGTTGAGCAATGAGCTGTCTGTTTTTACTTTCTTTCGAATTCGACGACATTTTTTTATCCGTCGCACGACTCCTACTCGTCGCCGTCACTTCAACATCGTTTTCCGAATTTTCCGTTTCTTCTTCGTTACATTTATTCACATTGTTATTCAATCTCCCGAATCTATCGCTTATCTTTTCCACGTTCGTTTTTTTTCTCACGCACGATTCACTTCCTTTTGCCTCCCTTAAATCCGAGGATTTATTATTATTATTATTTCTTTTATCCGTTTCTCTTTCTCTCGCGAGTAATCGTTTAGACGAATTCAATATGGGACCGTTTACGGTTTGCTTATTTCTCAATATGATATCTTTTATAGTTTTCGAATCGAGTCCGTCTAACGTGACGACGATTTGTGGTCCGTCTTGATGATGATTACTCTTCGAATCAGGTATGACTCTTAAATTTGCTATTTCCTGATCCGTGAGTTTTTGATTTTTGTTGAAATTTTTCTCCAAAACGTTCGAACTTGAAATTTTTTTCCTTTTCTTACCATCGTTTTCCATTTTGTCACCGTCGTCGGCGGCGTCGTCGTCTGCGTTGTCGTTTTCGTTAAATTCTTCTATTTCTAGAAAAAAAAAAAAAAAAAAAGACAAAATAACAAAAATGTAAATAAATCAATTTTTCTTTTTTATTTCTTTTTGTGATTTCCCCCCTCCCTCTTTTTACCATCGTTCGATACGGTTGTTTGAATTATAAGATCTTCCATGTCGTCTGGATTAACCATTTCCTCATCTTTCACAGCCTTTTCGACTCCTTCGAGCCAACACCTGATATATTTATCATTTTTTTCCATAATCGTCGTTTTGCTACTGATAAATTGATCTTCACCTGATGAGGAAAACAAAAAAAAAAAAAAAAAACATTTTTTACTGTTTACGTCATATTCTAACCAATGAGATGTCGTGACTCACTTTTTGACATTTCTCTCGACATCAAATCCGATTTCCCACGGAGTCCTTTTGATTTTTCCGAACTGTCCAATTTACACCTGGATTTATCACTTTTTTCCGATCCCAATTTACTATCCGATCTAGTAGTAGCCGTCGGGGAAAAAAAAAAAAAAACCAAAACGGTATAAATAAAAAACATTTTCCATTTTCCTCGTTATTATTATTATTATTATTAATTTTTTTTTCGAATTATTACCTGTCGGAACTTTTTCGAATGTTCGATAGTGTGACGGCTAATTTTTCAAATCTTTTACCCCTTAAATTTTTAGTGAAAAGTGCTTCCCTTTTCATTTCCGTTTCCGGTTCGATTCTCGTATTAATCGTCGCTATGGATTTCTCAGCATCTGCAACGGCTGTAAACGAAAAAAAAATCGTCGAGGTGGAAATCGAAATCAATCGATATATATCGATATATCGATATTAGTACAAAAAAAAAAAAAAACCTTTTAATATTAATGCTTTGTTAGCTTGTTTGTCTTTGGCAATAAATTCTCTCGGTTTAACTTTGACTATGCTTGAAATTTCTGGAGCTTCCGGTCCGGTTATTGTGACAACTCTGGAAAATATCGATGATTTTTTCTTGTTCGTCGAATTTTCCTTGAATTCAAATATTTAAAAAAAAAAAAAAGGGGAAATTAATTTTTGGCGCGACAATATTCAAAAATTTAAAAATTAAAATCCACACCTTTTCCCTGTTCCTATCTTTTTCCTTTTTAACACCGAAATTTTTTTCCAACTCCAAACTTTCCGATATTTTAATTATATTTTTATTTTTCCTTTTGTCTTCTGCTAAATTTTTTTTATCTAATTCTCGATCGTCGTTTATCGAATGAGATGAAATACTTTTCCTATCTTTGGATGATGAACTCCTTGAAAATTTTTTCCTTTTGCTCTCGTCTTTGTTCCTTTCTTTAACTTCTTTCGTTTTGTACATTTCACTTATACCACCGTGCCTGTGAGTCGGAGATTCCGGAGATTTTCTGCAAAAAAAAAAAGGTATTTTAAAATTTGAACGAAACATTCCCACAATAGGAAAATCCATTTTCATACCTTAAATGAGAGGACGATGAAAATTTTTTACGATCGGGTGATAAATCCGAATATTTATTACACGTGTTCGAAGAATATGGAAGCGTTGATTTGACGACGGTGGACGGTTTGTAATTATCTTGTTGACTGTAAAAAAAAAAAAAAAAAAAAAAAAAAAAAAATTGTACAATGGGGGAAAAATACCACGAGAGATAAATAATGAATTATTATTATTATTATTATTATTACACCATTACCTTGAAGAAAAACATAAATCTTTTTCGATATTTTTACTATCGTCTTCTATGACTAATACATCGGGTGAATTAGATCTCATTCTATCGGCTAATTTACTATTTTCTAATTTTTTTTTAGCTCTACTTAATAATAATTGTTTTCTCATTTCTTCCGGTGACATTGATTCCTCCGAATCGGATTTATTATTTTTCGCCATTGTTATTATTACCTCATCGGATTTTGATTTCTCATTTAATAGTTTATTATGTTTTTTTAATAATTCTTCTGTTGGAGCACTTACACACGTTTTTTCAACCTTTATTAATAAAACAAATAATAATAATTTAATTAAAATATATGGATTTATATTTAAAAAGAAAAATTTTGATTACCTGACTCGTAGAATAATTTGAATCTTTATCGACATTCACAACACAACTTATATATTGTTCATCTGTACAAAATTTTTCTGCTGGTTGTAATGGTTCAATATTAAATTCATCTTCAATCAGTCCTTTTTTTAAATTATTTTCTTCTTTCAAACCTAAAATCAGGTTTAACAATATGATAAGTTAAAAATTATTTTTTGTAAATTGAGAAGAAAAAATTGTCCTCGTCTCTCACCTTCTGTTTTTTCATCTGTTGTATTTTTATTTACCGAAGAAGTTTTCAATAAATTTTCTTCATTTTTATTTTGTCCTACTGAAAAACAAAAACAAAATCAAAATACTTTTATGTTCTGAATGTGAAAGTGATTTAATTTTTAATTATGATTAAAAAAAAATAACTTACCATTTAAATCATTTGTTTCTTTATCTGATATGAATTGAGATTTTTTATTGTTGAAAGAAGAATTTTTTAAAAATTCATCTGTTTTATCTATCGATGATTTATTATCGGCATCACACTCCAATGTGATTGGATTATGTTTCGATACATCATCGACTCTATTAAAAGCTTCATCTTTGTTTTGACTAGCATTAAATTCATTCGATTGTTTATTTATAATTTTTTCTTTTTTACTTTCTTTATCTGTTTTATCAGATTTTATTTTTTCTCTACTTTTATGTTTACTCTTTTTATTTTTTTTACTTTCCTTATGTTTTTTACCATGTTTTTTATTTTTAACAATTCCATCATCATCCGAAGATTTTCTACTACCTCCACCATCTGTATCAGATTTTCTTTTTTTAGATGATTTTTTACTCTCTGAACTTTTTTTTTCTTTTGATGATAAAAAAAAAAAAAAAAATTATATTATTTTAAAAGAATATAAAGAAAAAAAACTGAAATTAAAAAAACTGAAAAAAAAAAATTACCAAATGTAGCAACGGTAACTTCTTGGAGTTTTTGAAGAACTGTATGTAACCATGATGTGAATGTTTTAGTATTTGATGTTAGAAAAAGTTGTAAATCTTCATCCATTTGTGATTTTGTTCTCTTGTTAGCAACCATAACCATTATATAGTCAGGTAATTCATCATCAACATAAGCTCCTAATTCTATAAGCTTGGCTTTTATGGCAGCCTTTAAAAAAATTTATTTAAAAAAAAATTAATTTCGATTCGATAATAATAACAATATAAATTATTTCATCGTTATTATTATTTTCAAAAAGTAGTTTAAAGCACGTAACGAATAATTTAAAATAAAATTTAATTGTAAAAAAAAAAAAAAAAAAAAAATATAACATTGTAAATAATATAAAAATATGTAATTAAACAGTAATAGAAAATAAAATAAAATAATGCGGTGCCACTTACCCTTATTTTTTGACTAACTTCCGATCCGATTCCCTCCATAATTAATCCTTACTAAATATGAGAAAAAAAATTAAAATAAATTAAGCAAAATTTACAATAGCACTAGAAAACGCTTCAAATTTGATCGCCATTTTTTCATATGTTGTCGTGGTTTTAGAAAAAAAAAAACTAATAAAATGGTAACCAATTTGTAAATATACATTTTTTTTTTCCTTCTCTGATAGTTTAATTAAAATAATTGTTATTTAAAAAAAAAAAAAAGAATTCAATTTAGAATAACTATTAATTTTAAAAAAAAAGTAAGATTTAATTTTTTTGTTTGACATTTTTAAAAATAATTAAAACTGTTAAATTTTACATTGATAATTGATATTAAATATTTCATTAACAATTTTTTTTTTTTTTTTTTTTTTTTTTTTTCATTTCTATTCATTATTAATGTTATTTTTAATAAAAATAAATTTTATGTGTAACAATATTTTGTATTAACGTTTTTTTATATAATTCATTTTTATTTTTTTTTTTTAGAAAAATGAATTTTTTAATACAAAATATAAAAAATGTCGGATCTTTATTATCTACTAGTTTAATTAATAATAATTTTTCTTCAATTATAAATACAAGATTTGTCACAACTTTGAGTAGAATGCATAAATTAAATGTAACACCTAAAATTAGTAAAAAGAAAAAAAAATCACCCTTGGATGGTAAACCATATGCAAGCGGTGTTGTATTAAAAACATTAATTAAAAAACCTAGAAAACCTAATTCAGCAAATAGAAAATGTGTTTTATTAAAATTATCAACAGGAAAAGAAATGATTGCTTATGTACCTGGAGTAGGACATAATTTGCAAGTATGTTTATTTTATTTAAAATAATTAAGTAAATTTTTCATTTTTTTTTTTTTCTCTATAATATTTTAATAATTTATTTAATTTATCAGGAGCACAATACAGTACTTGTAAAAGTATCTAGATTAAAGGATACTCCTGGAGTAAAACTTAAATGTATTAGAGGAAAATATGATTTAGGACATCCGATAAAAAAAGATCAGTGATTGATTATTCTCAAAAAAATTATTATTCTTTATATTTATGTGTAGTTAATAATCAATATAAGTTTTATATACTACAGTATTTATTACGTTTCAAGTCATTTTTTTAATACCATTTTATTAAATTTTACAATAGGTGAAAATTTATCACTGGTATATACAAAATTTAAATAAAATTTCCTATTCCTAGCAATGAATGATAATAATTTCTTTTTTTTTAAACGAATTTTAATTATGTATTAATGGATAAATTTAATTTCATTCATTATATCAGAATTAATCAAAAAAAGTAAAAAAGCCAAACTAATGAGGAAAAATGGCAGGAAATTTTTATAACCGGCTGATTGAATGTATGCAGTGTAAAAAGGGCATATAAATTCACAGCCTTCTCAAAAAACGTTTTTTATTCGTTGTATTGTACAGTCTACTTCATGACGTGGATTGCTGGTAAAGAATAAATTCAGTAAATGCTGACATGATGACATTTAAAAGAGAAAAGAAAGAAGAAGAAGATGGTACGTTAAATTAAATTTACTATATTTAACACTCTATTTAAATCTTCACATTATTTAATTATTATTATATTAATAAATAAATAAAATTTTTTTATATTTCTTTTGAATTTTTCCTTATAGAATCAGTTGATGAAGTTAGTTGTAACTAAGTTACAATAATTCAAATAATTATAATAATTATGATAAATAATTTTATTGTTGTTATTTTAGGAGCGGGAAATCCTTTTGCAAATGTTGAAAAAACGGCGGTATTACAGGAAGCTAGGATGTTCAACGAAACGCCTATTAATCCGAGAAAATGTACTCACACACTCACAAAGATTTTATACTTATTAAATCAGGTGACAAAATTATCATTATTTTATTTTTTTTTTAAATTTAATTTTATTTAAATTAAAATTTGATTGTAATTGATAAGTTATTTTTAATTTGCAGGGTGAACAATTAGGTGTCACTGAAGCAACTGAAGCTTTTTTCGCTATGACAAAATTGTTTCAGTCAAAAGATGTCATACTTCGAAGGATGGTATATCTTGGAATTAAAGAATTATCTGGTATTGCTGAAGATGTTATCATTGTAACTTCTTCTCTTACCAAAGATATGACTGGTAAAGAAGATTTATACAGAGCTGCAGCCATAAGAGCACTTTGCAGCATCACTGATGTTACAATGCTTCAAGCTATCGAAAGATACATGAAACAAGCGATAGTTGATAAAAATACAGCTGTTAGTTCTGCTGCATTGGTTAGCAGTTTGCATTTAACTAAGGTAAAATAATAAATTTTTAACCACAGAGACTTTAAAAATTATTTATTTATCAATTTCATTATTTTAAATAATTAAAATTGTGATAATTAAAGGTTGCTGGTGATGTCATTAAGAGATGGGTTAATGAAGTTCAAGAAGCACTTAATTCGGATAAAATTATGGTTCAGTATCATGCATTGGGTGTATTATATCACATTCGTAAAACAGATAGGTTGGCTGTTACAAAACTTGTAGCAAAATTAACTAAAATGTTGTTGAGATCTCCCTATGCAGTTTGTATGTTGGTGAGTCAGAGAAAAAAAATTCTTTTAAATTTAATAACATTCGAATAATTCATTCAATTGATTAAATTTAAAAAAAAAACTTGTGCAGATAAGAATTACATGTAAACTTTTGGAAGAGGAAGACAGCACCAATGATTCTCCTCTATTCGATTTTATTGAATCTTGTTTAAGGCATAAAAATGAAATGGTCATTTACGAAGCTGCTCATGCCATTGTTAATTTAAAAAGAACAACGGCTAGAGAACTTGCTCCAGCAGTTAGCGTTTTACAATTATTTTGCAACAGTTCAAAACCAACTTTAAGGTTTGCAGCTGTCAGAACATTAAATAAGGTATTTTTGGAAAGTTTTCGAATAAAAAAATTATTAAACTTTTATAATATTGATAAAAAAACGTTTTTTTTCTAAGGTTGCCATGATGCATCCTGCTATTGTTATTGCATGCAATTTGGATTTGGAAAATTTGATAACTGATGCCAACAGGAGCATAGCAACATTGGCAATAACAACACTTCTTAAAACAGGAGCAGAATCATCTGTCGAAAGATTAATGAAACAAATAGCTTCTTTTGTCAGTGAAATCAGCGATGAATTTAAAATTGTTGTCGTTCAGGTTAGGTTTTGTTTTTTCTCCTTTTTTTGTTTTTTTGAATGAGAAATTTAAGGAATTTAAAATTAAAAAAAAGTAATAATAATAATAATAATAATGTTTATTTTCAGGCTATTAGAGCATTGTGTTTGAAATTTCCCAGAAAACACACGGTGCTCATGAATTTTCTGTCGGCCATGTTGAGAGACGAAGGTGGTTTGGAATACAAAGCAGCCATTGTCGATACTATTATTACCGTTATCGAAGATAATCCGGAAGCTAAAGAAACTGGTAAATATTTTCAAATCAATCAAAACCTTAAAAACAGTAATAATAATAATAATAATTGATGGTGAAAAATTTTTTTTTTTTTTTAAAGGTTTGGCTCATTTATGTGAATTTATAGAAGATTGCGAACACACAAGTTTAGCCGTTAGAATCCTTCACTTACTGGGTAAAGAGGGACCACAAACGAAACAACCTTCAAGGTATCACAATTTATTATTATTATTATTATTATTATTATTATTCATAATAAACAATCGTTATTTAAATGGAGGTTTTTTTTTTTTTTTCCCCGTCAGGTACATTCGATTTATATACAATAGAGTTATTTTGGAGAGTGCGTCGGTGAGAGCTGCTGCGGTGGCTGCAATGGCACAATTCGGAGCTTTATGTCCCGATCTAAGACCCAACATTCAAGTAAGTCTAAACCGAATTCGTTGAGAAAATAATTGTTGAAATAATAATAATAATAATAATAAAAAACAAATATTTTGCTCGCAGGTTTTACTCGAACGATGTCAAATGGACACAGACGACGAGGTTAGAGATAGAGCGACATACTATCACAGCATTCTACAGTACGATAACCCATCGCTAACGAATCGATACATTGTGGAATCTCTTCAAGTGAGTTTTTCCAACCTGACTTTCTTTAATTTTCATTTTGATGATTTTGAAAGAGCCTTAATTCGACATTGTTTTCGCAGGTCTCCGTTCCGGGTTTGGAAAAAGCATTAAATCAATACGTTTTGGGTACGTGCGACGAACCGTTCGATATGTCATCGGTTCCGTTGCCGGCGGAAGAAGACACGACGACCAAAAATAAACAGGCAAACGATACGATGTTCGTACCACCCGGTAAGTCATTTTTTGTCATCGCTTGCGATTTGAAAAAATTTAAAAAACAATTACTTATATTATCATTATTATTATTATTATTATCATTACATGGAAAAAGTGGCTCCGAAAGTAGCAGTTTCGAGAGAAGAGTCGTTCGCTGAAAAATTGGCAGAAATAGAAGAATTAAAAGATATTCCGGGTCCTTTGTACAAATCCTCCGACAGCGTGGAACTCACGGAATCCGAAACGGAATACGTTATCAAATGCGTCAAACATTCTTTTCTCAATCATTTGGTTCTTCAGGTAAGTGTCGCCTCATCGGAAAATGGTATACATTGAAATTGTGAACGATTTCATGTCGGTGTCGTATTCTAATCTGTTTCAGTTTGACGTCCTCAACACGCTGAGCGATCAAATACTGGAGAACGTCAAAGTGGCGATCGAACCTTCGGAGGGATTCAAAATAATCAAAGAAGTTCTTATACCCAAATTGCCGTACGGAGAAACCGGACATTGTTTCGTCGTCATGGAGTATCCGGATGATGTCATCGCATCAGTCGGTGAGTGATTGATTGGACTTTTAAACGGGACAACGTTGTGGGAGTTTTAGTGCATTTATTCCGGGTCTCCAATCGATTCCTTTTGGACTTCTTTGGTGCTGCTCCTGCTGCTGCTGCTTTCGAAGAATGTGAGACGTCCCACGCAGTGTGATCTCCTGTACGGTTTTCTTCTGAGAATCTTCTCTTTAAATTTCCTTTTCTTTGAGTGAGGCATGGCTCCCAGTGCTGCTCCCACGATGATCCGAGTACCCTTTCTGTCTTTACATTGTCTTCCCATCCTGGCTATTTCTATCTCTTCCGTCCTTTTCTATCTTCTTTTCGCTGTCTGGTGTTTTTTTTTCCGCCGGTACGAAGACTTTGAATAGTTTGCAACATTTTTCGGAATTATGTCCCACGATGAATTCCGGTTTGTTGGATTCAGTGCCAAATGTGCGTGTTCTCTTCTTATTAATCTCTGAAGCGTTCACTCTTTTTAAATATTGTCCTTGTAGCTTTTTCTGTTCCCACTTGTCCTTTAATTTCTTCTGAGATTGGGTCTCTACTCGATTCCTCAAGAGTAAATGCTCGAATTTCGTTGGTGATAACGCGATTTCCTGGATGGTTTCTTCTTTTAAATTCTTCAAAATTTTCTTCAGGTTTCCCCTTGTAGAATGTGACATTGCCCCCCCAATGCTCCCACGATGATCGGAATAGTTTCTGTTTTCGCTCTTCCCACATCCACTCTTTTTGTCCTCTTCTTTGGCTGGTGTTTTTTTTCTGCCGGTACTTCACAATTAATTTACACCATTTTTCAAAATTATGTCTCAGGATGATGTCCGGTTTGTTGGCTGGTACAGTTCTTGGCAATTTCTCCTTGGATAATTCATCCATTCCGTATTCACGACAGGTATTCCATTGGGGGTATTTACAGATTTTATTGTGCCTCTCCAGATCTTCATGTTTTTCCAATGTCGGACAAGCGGGAATTAAATGGTCGATGGTTTTCTGACTGCGATTGGCAAATTCGGCACATGTCATCTTGACGCACTTTCAGGATTATCTTCTTATAGTTATGGGCCCTTAAATGCCTGGTCTTGTAATAAACACTTCCGTTTCAACTTTAAGTTTTCCACGCCGTAGCCAATTGTGCGTGCTCTTCTTATTAATATCTTCGGCATTTATTCTTTTTAGGTATTGCCCATGTAATTTTTTCTGTTCCCATTTGCTTATTAATTTCTTCTGAGATTGGGCTTTGCTATTATAAGTTGCAAGTTGCCCTTCTTCCATTATCTCGTTTTCTTTATTTTCTTTGACGATTTGTTTTTCTCTTCTTAGCACTCCTCTTTTTCTGAATTTTTCTTCCATTAGCACTGCTTGAACCAAAATGGGATGCTGTTAATGAGATTCCATGTATTTTCCCTTTTCCAATTATGGCATTCTGGTATGCCGCTTCTATTTGTCGTAATCCTCTTCTCTCATCTTCCCCACTGACGTATAGTCTATTCACATCAGCTTTTGAATGTACAGCATCATTCATTGTCAATATTTTTCTTGTTCTTCGGTTCAAGTTTTTGTGATTTCTTCTTTTGTCCAGTCTACGAGTCCAAAATTGTATTCTATTACTGGAACTCCTAATGTGCCGACGGCGTTTATCTTATTTCTTCCATTCAGTTCCGACGGTAATATAAACCTCAATCTCCTTAAGATATTTCTTTCTTCACGACGAGTTTTCATTTTTTTATTTGCCACCCCAAAATTTTCTTCAACTCCGAGGTATTTGTATGTTGGAATCCAGTTCTATGATGTTTTCTTCTTTAATTTCTATAATAATAATTATTATTATTATTATTTTTTTTTTATTCAGGAACTTTTGGCGCGACGTTAAAATTCATAGTCAAAGATTGCGATCCGACGACGGGATTACCAGATTCCGACGAAGGTTATCAAGACGAATATTTGGTGAGTTTTTTTTTTAAAAAAAAAAAAAAAAAAATTCTTTAATCGCGTTCCTTTATTTTGTAATGATAATGATGATTATTAAACAAGAATATTTTTATTTACGTTGTCGATAGGTCGAAGATGTCGAAGTCACGCTAGCGGATCAAGTGCAAAAAGTAGCCAAAGCAAATTTCGGTTTGGCATGGGAAGAAGCGTCATCGTCTTTTCACGAATTGGAAGACACGTACGTTTTATCGACGGTCAAAAGTTTAGAAGAAGCCGTCACGTCGATTGTGACGTACCTGGGAATGGGGGTAGCCGATAAAAGCGACAAAGTTCCAGAGGGAAAATCCTCGCACACGTTGTATCTAGCAGGTAGTTTTATTTTTCCGGTTCCAAAAAAACCTAATCACGAGGTTGACGATGTAAAAAAATTATTATTATTATTATTTTTTTTTTTCCCACAGGAGTTTTCAGAGGCGGAGAGCAAATATTGGTGAGAGCAAAATTAGCCTTATCCGATGGAGTCACGATGCAATTAACCGTCAGATCAACGAACGAATCCGTCGCGGAATTGGTCGCGTCAACGATCGGTTAATAAATAAATAAAAAATTTCAAATTCCCTGTAATAATAATAATGATTAATAATAATAATAATAATAATTAATAAATATAAATAAATAAATAAATAAAAAATGGCGTTAATTATTTTAAAACGATGAAAGAAAAGAAAAAATAAAAAAAAAAAAAAAATTAAACGTGAACCATTTTATTGAGCATAACTAAATAAAATATATAAAAAAAACTATTTAATAGTAATAATAATAATAATAATAGTTAATAACCCAAATAATAATAACAATAATTATTATTATTATTTAAATAAATATAAAAAAAAAAAATTTTTAAATGTTTTAAATATATATATATATATATATATGAATATAGAAAAGAAGTTTGAGCACTGAAGCGAAAGATGTTTGATGTGTTCAATGGGAATGTTAAAAACTTGCCATAGAAAAAATGATAAGAATGATAGAAGAGAGAGAAATAATAATAATAATAATAATAATTTGCCTTCGATTCCCTTGCCACAATAAATGGCTCTAATTTTTTCCCCAATTCCGATATATAATTTTTTTTGTTCTTGCATATGTGCATAATAAGGCATAGAAAAAAAAACGACTACTATTAAAGTTTCATTCGGGAAAAAAAAAAAAAAGAATAGAAAAAGTAAATAATGGTTTACTACTTTCTAGGTTGTTGAATAACATTAGGCTTTTGTGGTGCTGATTTTGCATCATGAGTAGGCATGGGTTTCTCATGAAAACTTTGAACTGCTTTTGTTGGAAAATCAGCATTACCTCTTGCTATAGCACCCGATATGTTTGTCGCAACCGATTTGGGTGGACTGAAATATTAAAAAAAAAAAAAAAAATATTGAAGAGACCAGATTGTTACACAATAATTACTTAACAATAACTGATTTTTAAATTTGTAAAAAAAAAAAAAATATTTGTTATTTGTATGGTTATAAAAAAAAGGCCATGGTCATCGAAATAATAATAATAATAAATTAATAATAAGAAAGAGAGAGAGAAGAAAAAACGAGTCTTGTGAAATCAAAACGAGTCTTGTTTGTAAAAACGACAAAAATTTATAAATAAATTAAAATTGTGAAACTATTGAAAAAATTATTACCTTGTTGATACTTTTAATGCAGCATTTCCTTCGCTCATATCCATTTCTTTTTTATCCGATTCGCTATGACCTGATCTGTGATGTGGAATTCTCATTCCTCCGACTTTTACTAAAAAAAAATTTTTTTTTTTTAAATTACATTAATTAGCATTCATCATCATTATTAATCAATTTTGAGTTTTATAAAGTTGAAAGCAATGATACAGAAATATAATTCGAGTAAAAATCATTAATGAGTTTTCATTCGATGATGTAAAAAAAAAATTTTTCCCTAATAAATGTAGTAATATTGAGTAACATTCGAGAAATTTTACATAACATATGGTTAACACATATATTTAAAAATTAACCTAATTAAATAAAATAAATTTTTTTCCTTTTCTTAACATAAGTCTCAAAAAGAATTTAATAAATTATCATTTCGTATACAAATAATAATACTAATTATTAATGAAAACCCCCCCCACCCCAACGATTACCCGGTTTTTTTTGTTTGTTAAACAAAGAAAATTATTAAAAATTATTATATTAATTTTTATTAAAAAAAAAAATTTAATAATTAAATAAATAAACTTACATGCAGGAGGATGTCCACCTTTAAGTTCGTTATCATCGGAAGGAGATGACATTTTCCGTTAAAATATTTATATAAAAATAATTAATTATCAAATAAAAAGTAAAAATAAAAAAATATATTCGGTGAAGAGTTTTTTCCTACTTGTCTACGTGGTTTACACAACAAATCTGAGTTGAAAATGCTTCTTACACGACGTGCCAACTTAAATTATCATAACGCTTATATAATAGTAAAGTGCAGGGAAAAAAAATTCCCTGCAATCCAACGACTTTTCCCTCCAACAATCGAACGAATATTTTTAAATTTAATTTGATTTTATTTATTTTTAAAACGTTTTTTTTTAAAACTTTTTTTGGTTTTTGTTTTAGAATAATAATTTATGGATAAAATGGCGCGATGTTTATGTATAATAAATCATTAACAACTTAAAGAGTAATAGAAAAAAAAGTTTATTTGTTTAACGGAAAATATCGTTACGGGATGGTAATGACGTCATTATTGCGAATCAGATTTCTTTTTCAAATAATTATTTCTCATGGATTTATACATTATTCCACCGACGTATGTTTTTATCCAAACCGGACACATGACGGCAAATAAATATTGTAATCTGTGAGGCCAATATCCGGTCGTGTTATCAATTATCCCTAACGTATCGAGCGCGGATTTAACGTAACGGGATGGAGTAGGTACGAATAAATTATTTTTCAATAATCTATCGTTGAAATGATTGATTTTCGTAGTGACGTAATAAGGGCACAAACATTGTATCGTCAAATTTGAATTTTTATATTCTTCTCTCAGAGCATCGGTGAAAAAATCCACGAAAATTTTCGATGCCGCGTAAAGATTCATAAAAGGCAGTGGTTGAAGTTTCGAACCGGATGATAAATTAACAATGGCGCCTTTTTTCTTATCCAACATTTTTGAAAGTATTATTTTCGTCATTTGCACCACGGATCCCAAATTGACATTTAAAACGTTCCATATTTCATCGTCTGGTAATTCTCCAAAATACATCGGATGACTATATTGAATTCCGACATTGTTAATCAATATTCCAACATCTAAATCATCCATCAATAATTTAACGTCATCGTAAATAGATCTTCCTTTTGTAAAATCGCACATTATTATTTTAGTATCGATTTTGTAATCGTTTTTAATATCGTTCGATACTCGTTCGAGTTTTTCTTTGTTTCTGCTTATCAGAACGATATTCAAACCTCTTTTTGCCAATTCGTATGAAAATGCTTTACCTATGCCATCAGTACAACCCGTCACAACAGCCCAACTGCCATATTTTTCTTTTAAATTTATTTTTGGCATTATCATATATTTTATCAATTGCGTCATCGTCCAAAAATTATCAATAAATATTTTTATTATAATTAATAATGATAATATTAATAAAATTAAATAAATCCATTCGAAAACGTTCATTTTTATTATTGATGACGAGGAGAAAAACCTTTTTTTTCTGGAATAAAACAAAAAAACGTTTAATAAATTTAAAACAAAACGGAAATAATAATAATGATAAGAATGCATTACATGATAAAAACAAACAACAAACAAACAAACAAACAAGGGAAAGTATACAAAAAAAAAAAATGTTTAAAATTAAATTCAAACCAATCAAAAAAGGTTTAAAAGAAGAAAAAGAGATAAAAAATTTTTTTTTTTTAGATAAAAAAAGGGAAAAAGTAAAGTTCAAAGGTCACGCAATTGTAAATATTACGAAAGGGATACAACAACAACAACAACAAACAGGAAAATTTTTTAAATTGAATTATTTTTAAATGAAAAAAAAAAATTTAAATGTAACGGTTTTTTTTTTTCCTTTTTTTTTCGGGGAGGTTTTGAGTTTTAAACCTTTTCTCCAGATATTAAAAAATCGTTTTGATAATAATGATAATGATTACGAAGGAGTTTTTCTTTTGTGTAAACTGATAATAATGATGATGATGATGATGATTTTTGGCAATTTTTTAAATTAACGGTTTAAATAATCATTATTATTTCTATATTTCCAACGCGTGGAATTCGGTCGATGGTATAAAATAATAAAACAAACATTTTGTTTGTCATCATCGTTTGTTGTTGTTGTTGTTGTTATTGTTAGAACGGTTGATTTTGAATAAAACAGGACCGTGTTAAGGATAATTATAATAAAATTAAAATAAAAAATTTTTCGGGCGAAAAAATTAAATTAGGATTTTTACAAAAAATATTTTTATGTTTTCTGTTGTTTTTTTTTTTCTTACTGATGACGTAATATCACGTGACTTTTTTCCAGAATTTTTTTTCTTCGATAGTTATAAGAAAAATTATAAATATAAGAATCTGAAGAAAAATCTCCTGGAGAAATATAAAAATAAATTATTTAAAAAACGTCGTTGTTATCATTTCATTGATAAGATTAATTATTATAAAAAAAGATGGAGGGGGAGGGGAGGGAAGAGGGGGAAATTTTTTTACATAAATTCGGGATTTGAAGAAAATTGATTGATTTTGTTTTTTTCATCCGGGAAAAAATTGAGCATCGTGGGAAATTATTTTTTTTATAACACAAGAATTTCAAGCACACGAGTTAATATTAATATTTTATCGATAACGGTTCGCCCCCCACCCCCCACCCCCTACTATTGTTCCTTTTTTTTTTAAAGAAACATTTTTCATTTTTCTATTAAATTTTAAATGAGAGAAAACAGTAATAATAATAATAATAATAATAATAATAATAATAATAATAATGTAACTTACGTGTTATGGAATTTAAATTTTTTAACGTTTTTTTTCCTCTCTCTCTTCCCTTTTCTCTCCTTTTTCTCTCTTTCTCTCTCACTTTTTCTTCCTACGTTTTAAAAACACTTAAATATTTTTAAAAAATTAAAAAACTTTACTGATTATTTTATCCGGAAAAAAAAAGTTTTTTTTTTTTGTAAAGACTAACGAGAGATTATTAAAAAAAAAAAAAACGAATTTTTTTTTTCTTCACACAAGTGTTCGACTTGACATTGAACGAAGAGTGACGAATCAAAAATAATATTTCGGTTGATGATTAAATATTAAATATTTTTTCTTCTTTTCGATATTAAATTCACGATATAATTTAACACACGAATGATTGATTGATTGATTGAATGATTTATTTAAACACAAAATAATTTTTTTTCCAGAAACCCGGAGAAAATCCCCAAATAACAAAAAAAAATTCGAATTTAAAAAAAAACGTTCCGGAATGAAAATTTTACTTTTAGTTACTAAAATCGTCGATAGAGGTCATTGATTTTCAAAAAAAAATTTTCCTTTTTTAAATATGTCGGTTATTGATTGTTGAAACGAAAAGGAAGAAGAAAAAATTTTTTTTTCTTCTTCTTTCGTCTTTTCGATTTATCAAAACCTTTAATTATAAATTATTAATAATTTATTAATTATTATTATTATTATTATTTATTAATAATTTTATTGTAGGGAAAAGAATTATCGAGTTATTAATAAAAACATTTCCACATTTCGTGTTTAAAAAAAAAAAATGAATTAGTACAACTTTCCCGGCCCCCTTTTTTATTCTCCCCCCTCGAAAAAACCCTCATTTGTTCTAAATAATAATAATAATAATAATATTGTACTAATTAAAATTTACGGTTTCGATTTAAAAAAAAAAAAAAAACAAAAGGAATTATAAATGAACAAACAAAAACGTATAAAAGTATAACGGTTTTTTTTTTTAAATTCAATGACGTCATACATGTATAAAATCATTTTTTTACGTAATTATTATTATTATTTCTTTTTAAAATCAAAATTTTCTCGTAGAAAATAAAAGAAAATCGTTGGAAAAAATAAAAATTTTTTTTTACAAAATGGCGGATTCGAATCATGTTTAAAATGATTTACGTCACGTAAAAAAAAGAAAAACGAACGGAGGTTTACTACGTGCATTCATTAATATCCGTCAAAAATAAATTACGATTTAAACGAACCTTAATTCGGTCCTGTTCGATCGAATCCTACACCCATTCAATGGAAATTTATAAAAAAAATTATTTTTAGAAAATTTTTTCCCGTTACCTTTCATCTCAATCAACGTTGACCTAATAACAATTCAAACATCTGTCATTTGCTCAAAAGACCAAAAGGGTTGTTGTATATACCGTAATAAATAAGGGATGATGATGATGATGATGATGATGATTACAACCACAAAAAAAAAAAATTCAGACGTTCAATTTCCGGTTCAAGTGTAATTTGTTTTTCTTCCTCGTTTTTCATCGTAAAACCGAACGAAAGGTTTTTTTTGCTAACCTCACGATTTCCGTTTCGAAAACAATAATAATAATAATTAAAAATATATATATGTTCGTAACGAATTTTAATGACGTCATTAATTATAGTAAAACAAAATAAACGTTTACATACATATGAAATAATTAATTACGCGATAGGTTTTTTTTAAAATTAATATTAAATTGAAACGTAACAGGATGACAACTTAACAAAAATAATAATAATAATAAGTTTTTCTTTTTCAGAATTTTTTCATTCAAAATTGGTATGGGGAAGAGAGGAAGAAAGGGAAGGAAAAATCTTTTTTTAATATTTGTAAAGAAAATTAAGATGAAGAGTTTAAATGATTTGTCAATGATGACCTTGAAACGTCATCATCGTCATCGTCATCATCGTGTATATAATCTCTGACATAAAATGTTAGATAAAGATTAGTTACACAAAAAAAAAGGAAAAAGAATAAGAATAAAGGGAAAAAAAATGACAGATGCAAGTTATGATGAATTGAATTCTAAGAAAGGTTTCGTCCCATGGTACAACACACACACACACATACACGAATACGCACAAAGGCACGAAGGAAATCAAATATGGCGGACGAAAAATTTTATTTTTAGGTAGTATGCCCCATGAGAATTATGGGATCTCGTTCGTGTTAGTTTTAACAAAGAAATAAAGTTGTTTCCGTTAAGGGTTAAGTCCGTCAAAAACATACACCCCCATCCTTTCAGCCCCCCCCCCCCCGGGTGACCTAATAACAGTTTGAATGAAAAGGGATTTTTGCAAAAAAAAAAAAAAAAAATTGCGATCAGATTTCTTTACGTGTGTGAAAAATTCATCGAGATTTTTACCGTTACACTTCAATCGGGGTGAGAATGAGAAAAATAATCACGTGACGTAAACTCTTCTCCATTTCGACCAATGAGATTTCGTTTTGGGAAACACGAAATGTTGCCAAATCGTCTTGAAACGTTTGATTTTAAATTTTTCCGACTTAATAAATTATAATTATTTAAAATGGCGAACGATTTTTATTAAAAAAATTATTATTTAAAATAAGAAAAAGCCGGTAAATGATTAAAAATAAGGTTATTAAACCGAACAAAAAAATTATAATAATTATGCGCGTGTGTGACTAATAAAATCAAAAAGAAAAAAAAAAGAACAAAGGAAAAAAAAAAAAAAAAAATTTTCCCATCGATACCTGAGAAATAAAAAGTTAAAAAGTTAAAAATTGAAAAGATCAAAAAGAAAAAAAAATTGATTTATTATTATTATAAAAATTTTGTCAAACGCGGTCAAATTAAATCGGTAATCATTAAATTTATTACAACAAAAAAAAGGTCCGTCCGTCCGTCCGAAAAAAGGTTGATACAAAAAAAAATATGGCGGAAAACAAAGTCGGATTAATCGGGTTCATTGCCATTTCAAATGAATGACTCAACACCGACGGGAAGTTCACACTCAGAAAAAAACATTTAATTTTGTTATTAAAATAAAAAACATTCACGAATTAAAAAAAAAAAAAAACAGAAAAACGTTAAAAAATCCCTTATTGTACGCCATTTTGTTTTTATTTATGCCGATGTAATTATTTGTTAACGTATAAACTATTACGAAAGTAAAAATTTTCAATCAAATAACAATTGCATGATTTTTTCGGTTGTTGTATAACGACGCAAAAAATAATAATAATAATTTAACCTCGAGGGGAATTTTTTAAAAATAAACCGTCGCCATTTTTGTCTCGAAATTATTAATAATAATAATAATGATATAACCGACGCCATTTTCCGCAAAAAAAATTAACGTTTATTTAATCATATCGAAGGATTCGAACGATTTGCGAGTGTTTATGACGTCACAAATCATAAGAAAACGTGTACGAAACAAAATTATTATTATTATTATAGTTTTCGTCGTGGAAATAGATTATAGAAAATAACCTAATTTTTTTTTTTTTTTAAATAGAAAAAGGTTTAAAAAGGTTCTTGGAAAAAAAGGATTTTAAAAAGTGACACGTATGAAAATGCGCGAAATTATGTCTTCTTTTTTTTTTTTTCTTATGTATAAATTACATTGAATTATTTATAATGGAAGGTTTTCTATCTATTTATCTTTTTCTCTCTCACGCACGTTTCTCTCTCTCTGTCTTTTTCTATTTGCACTTCTCAAAAAAAAAAAAAATTTTTTTTTTTATTTTTCTTTTCATCTCGAATTTTAAATAGTTAAGCTTAAAGTAGGACGAAATGAATTCGTAACAAACAATAATAACAAAGAGAGAGAGAGAGAGAGAGAGAGAGAGAGAGAGAGAGAGAGAGAGAGAGAGAGAGAGAGAGAGAGAGAGAGAGAGAGTGAGAAAGGGTTTTAAAAAGAAAAACCTTTTTTTTCGTGTGTGCGTGCAAAAAGAAAAAAAAAAATTTCCCGTTAGGTTTTTTTTTTATTTAAAAACAATAATTAGCCTTGAATTCTCTTATACATATATACATATTTTAAGTTTTTAAAAAATGAAAGAAATATTTAAATGTTCTAGAAAAAAAGGTTTTCTCTTAGATAATAATACTATAGCAGAAGAAAAAACCTTTTTTCTTTTTTTAAACCTTTTTTTGTTTCTTTTTGTTATTGTAATATTGAAAAAGTAAAAGTTTATACAAGAGTAAAAATTGTAATATTTAAATAATTTTTTTTTTTTTTAAATTTTGGTAATACTGTTTAATTTATCAACTCAGTCTCTCTCTCTCTCTCTCTCTCTGTCTCTCTCTTGTTAATTATTAAAAAATAATTATCATTATTATAAAAATGTTTTTTAAATTAATTTATGTTTTGTAAATTTTACAAAATTAAAAACAAACAGAAAAGTTTCCCTGTTTTTTAAGGAAAATGTTTAAATTTTTAAATTTGTTTATTAATTAATTAATTAATTATCGATTGATTATTAATAATAAATAAATTATTAATAAAATTATTAATAATAATTTATTATGAAATTGGAAAAACATGAAAAGTTTAAAAAAAAAAATGGCGCGCGGTTGATATAATGAATTACGAATGAGTTTGTTTTTATTTTTTTTTATTTTGTCTCTCTCTCTCTCTCTCTGTTTGTGTTTGTTTGTTTTACGGTTTCGAAAAAAAATTTTTTTATTTCTAAAAACATTAATTATTTAAAAAAGGAAAAAAGTCAAAGGAAAAAAAATGGAAAGCGCTTAAAAAAAGAAAAAAAAATAAAATGATTCCTAATTGCATAATTATAAAAATTTTTTCCTTTTTAATTTTTTTTTTTTTTTTTGATGAATTTTTAAATTTTATTTAAACGTCACGAACACAAAGGAAAAATGAAAAAGAGGGAGAGAGGAAAGAGAGACCGAGAGAGGGAGAGAGGAAAGAGAGACCGAGAGAGGGAGAGAGGAAAGAGAGAGGGAGAGAGAGAGGGGAGGAAAAGCGAGAATGAAAGCGAAATGAGTTTAAAAAACTGAAATGAAAAGAGGAAAAAAAGAAGAAAAATATCGAAAAAGAGAGAAAATGCTTGTGAAAGAGTATGTGAGAGAAAGCTAAAAAAACAGAAATGAGAGAGAGAACGATAGAATGGAAAGAAAAATGGAAAAAAGGAAAAGGTAGAAATAAAAGGAAAAAGAAAGTTAAAGTAAAAGGAATAAAAAAGGGAGTGGAACAGAAAAAGCTAAAGAAACAAAGAAAATTAGAAAGTGAGAAAAAGCTTAAGAAAGAAAAATGAGAGAGAGAGAGAAAGAAATGGAAAAAAGGACACGCAGAGAGAGAACAAAAAAAATGAGTGAAAGAATGGGAGGAAAAAATTTAAAGAAAAGAAGGATGGGAGAAAAAAGAAGAAGGAAAAATGGAAAAAAAAGAAGAAAGAAAGGAAAAGAGAGACAGAAAGAGATAATATTAATAATATTATTAATAATAATAATAATAATTATTATTATTATTAATTTGTATTCCAAAATGTCAATTCCAGAATATATCATTTCTTTTTTTTTTCATCCGACAGGAATTTTTTTTTTAAATGACATAAACATAATATATATAACAGAATGATAATAATAATAATAATAAATGGTACCTGAGAATTTTTCTTTTTGTTAAAAGGTTTTTTGTATCCGACAATAGAAAAAATTATTATTAATAACAAAATGGCGTAGGTCGTCGGTTTGTTAAAAATAACCGTTACACTTATTTAATTTTTCGTAATTTCCTTCTCTCTCTTTTTTTTTCTTTGTTTGTTTTGATTTTCATTTCGTTTAATTATAATTAAAAACCTAATAATAATAATTATTATTATCATTTTATCAGTTAAATTAACTTTTTTTAAAAAGAAAAACCGTTAAAAACATTTTCCTTAACCCCCTGTAAAATTAATAAAATAATGCGAAAGGTTAAAATATTATTTTTAAAAAAAAGGGGGGATACCGGAAGGATGAAAAGGAAAATCCGACATTTTTGTCGCATTTTTGCAAATATAATAAAGTAAATAATAATAATAATAATAATAATGGTTCGATTCTCTCACCCTTTTTTAAATGAAAATTCGGGTTTGTTATATATATAGGAAATACAAATACTATGACGAAAGGCAAATAGGTCACAAGGACGTTTTATAACATCTGCCAACCTTTAAACACCTTCATACGTCAAAACTACCCTTTCTCGAGTACGCACATGCACCCCCGCACGCACTCATCCCCCACGCAAACACACACACACACTCACGAATGCAAAAACGAAAATGATTTTTCAATTATAAAAAGATTACGTTACGACATAAAATAAACATAAGATTTACGGTCATAATAAGTACGCACGATTCGATATTTTTCCACGAGAAAAAGATTTTTTTCTTATTCAAGTATTATTTAATATTATTTAACCCCCACGTGCCTGAATATTTTATAAACTTGTAATTAATCATTATTATTATTGCTAATACTATTTCTAGAATAATTTTAATTTGACGTGGAAAAAAATGAGGGGAAATTCGCGAGTAACGGAAAATTCGATGTAGAAAAGTGGAAAAAAATCGGTCGGTTAATACGAGTCTCGAATTTTCCGGAAGTTTTCTTTTTTTTTTTTAATACATCAATGGCTTCTCCCCACGAATTCGATGCAGTACTTAAATTACGTATTCTTCAAATATTATTTAAAATAATAATAATAATAATAATAATTTTTTTTCTCTTGTTTGTATTTTTTTTCTCTGAACATTTAAAATAAATTTAAACAATTCAGGTAAAGGTTTGTGTCAAAGAGGGAAAATGTTTTCCTTAAAGGGGGTACCAAAAAAAAAAAAAATAAAAAGACGCAAACGTACTTGTTATTATTATTATTAATAATAATAAAAGTATTTCTTTTTAAATAAAGTTAAATAGGTATTGAGATCAGGTACCTAACGGTTCATAAATAATATTCTATGCAAAAATTTTTTCAAAAATTGAAAAAATTTTTTTTTTATCTTTCTTGAGTACAAAAAGGGCTTAAATATTAAATTTAAGGGTTGATTTTGGAAAATTCAAAAACAATATCCTACGAGATTTTTTTTTTTTTTTTCAGGGAAAATTCGGAAAAGTCTTGTACGTTATTAATGTATAAGAAACTAATAATATTATTATTATTATGATCGCACGATTGAGAATGTTTGGGAAAAATATGGGGGGTGATATGGGTTGGGGGGAGGTAGAAAAAATGAATTTTAAAAATTATCTGGAAAAGTTTTTTTTACTTATCGGGAGGAAAATTTTTTTTCTGTTGCATTCCATGAGAAATTTTATGTGAAAATTTGCTGCCCTTTCCCTCCCTCTTCCTCCCTTATTACCATCACCATCACCACCGCCACCGCCACGATCAAACGCAAAAATCCAAAACGCGAAATCGGTGTTGTTCAATATGTCCTTTTAACATTATTACCTACCCTTTGGATAATAAGAGTCAGGACGGCTTAAAGGAAATTTGCAAATACCGAATGTGGTCAACCCTCTCGGATGGGTATCAATTGTATAAGTTAAACGTAGGCGTAAATAATCGAAGGTCAAGCAAAGGGTTTTTCCCTCGAGAGTCTCTCAATGGTGTGGTGGTGGTCAGTTTTGTCCAAACTTTTTCGTGTATAAGTTTTGTGGTGACAACACACGGATCCGCAGATATGTATTCGTCAGGTGCGGTACAATACGGTGGTGGTAATAGAATACCAGAAATGACAAAACCACCCGAAGATGATTTTGTACTTGATTTAAGCGTGAGAACTCAAATAGACGGTGGTAATGGATGTAACGGTGAAACAACAACAATTTACGGCGACGGTAAGTACATTGAAAAACAACAACCAAATACAAATGGGGGACCGCGAGTTGTGTAGGTCAAAAGGTCGCGAAAGAATGTTGTAAAAAATTAAGTTCGGATGTAGGAATGAAAAGACAAAAAAGAAGCGTCGGGTGATTTCATTTCTACAACCATCCCAGAATATTGAGCGTAAAAAATGGATTCCAACGTTTGTTTGTTTGTTTGTTTCAGAAAGACTTTTAAGTCCGGAAATAAGATCAACACACAGTACGGACAGCAACGGTGAAAATGGTTCTTCGCCATTTTTACCATTACCAGTTAATCCCATAACAACACGAGGGGGTAAGCAGCGGACATTTTTAATTTTCCGAAAAAAAAAAATTTTTAACGTAGCAGCAGAAAAATCATTGAATTGTTTTTTGTTTGTTTAGGTAAACCAACGAGGCCGTTTAAGGCATATCCAAAAAATTTTTTAGGTTTAGGTACGACAGGAGGTATGATAGACGATTCGGATATAAGATATATGGAATTCAGACGACAGTTTTTATCACAGCTACACGCGACGATTGGCGGAACCGCCGGTACGATATATACATAGAACAATTACGTCATAATCACCAAATAATAATAATAATAATAATAATGACTAATTTAATGAAATGAAATTTTTAGGTAATAAAAACATGAAAAGGCCGGTACAATCTGTGAGTCCGAATCAATATCCGTCATCGTCATCTGGTGACGGTAAGGATCAGGCATATTGGGAAAGGAGAAGGAAAAATAACGAAGCGGCTAAAAAATCAAGAGATGCGAGAAGAGCTAAAGAAGATGAAATTGCAATTAGGGCAGCCTTTTTAGAAAGGGAAAACCTTCAATTAAGGTTGGAATTAGCATCATTAAAAAATGAAATTGAAAGGTTGAGATGCGTCCTTTATGCTAACAACTAATTTCCCCCCCCAAAAAAAACGGGAAAGTTGAGAATACGAAAAGGTGAAAGAGAAAGAGATAGAGATAGAGAAAGGTGGGAAAGGTGTGGGAAAACGGAAGTGAATGTAAAAAAAATCCCACATCGCATTTTCCTTTTGTAAAAAAAAAAAATTGTAAATTGTAAATTTTTGACATTATTATTATTATTATTATTTTGAAAAAATAATTTATGTGTAAATTTTGGCCCCCATGCCCCCCAAAAAAATATTATATGTATATATTTATATATGACTGAAACCAAAGTTTATTTTTTTATTTTACGAATAAATAAAATTTTATGTAAAAAACAAATCACTTCCGGTTTATTTTATTTTCCTTTAAATTTTTGTTTTTATTTCCTGTACAATCGAACACGTGATCACGCGTTCAAAATTAATTAAAAACAATAATATTTACATATTTTTTTTTGTATCGCCCCGCCCACGCACACATCATACAAATCTTTCAATTTTTGATTACGTAGTTACAAGTGACGTCAGCAGTAATCGTTACATCAAAACGTTGTTGTTAAACAACAACATTGCGACGTTGCATTTATTACATAAATTTTTTTTTTGTAAATTAAAATGCGTAACGTCGTCGTAAATATATGCGACTTTATGTCGATGACGAAATCAAAATAACTTACTTTACTTTTTTTTTTTGTTCAAAATGGCGGACGAGTAAAAAAATAATAATAACGATAATAATAATCATTTTCTTTTTGTTTTTTTTTGGGGGCGAAAGGGTGGGGAAATGGGACGAGCGGGGGGGTACAAAATTAAATTCAGGTATGCGATGACGTGATTAAAATTAATTAATTAAAAGTAAAACGAATGAATTAAAATAATTTTATTTATTTATTAATAGTAATAATAATAATAATAATAATAATAATTTTAATTAACGTCTAATTTGGCATTATTTATTTATTTATTAATAATCTTTATATACATAATTTATTATTATATATTTATCAGTATACATAATTACATTAATAAAAATAAATATTTTATATTATTTATTTATTTATTTAATTAATAAATGTTTAATTAAATATTATGTACATAACATTAAATGACTTTTAATAAAAATTAAAAATTCGATTTGTTCTTATTTAACAAAAAAAAAAAAAAATCTCGGGACGTTATATATATATAAATCCTAATATCTAAACGGTAAATTATAATAAACAAACAAACAAACCCACGAACAAACAACATAACTTTTCGTTTTATTAATAATAATCATAATCATTATTATCATTATCATTTACGATATATTAATAATAATAATAATAATAATAATAATAAATTTTTTGCGTAAAAAGATCCTTATTGGACCGACGTTAATTATTTATTTATGCATCTCTTTCCTTTTTAATTATTTGAGCAAGTCGTATTATCATCATTAATATTATTATTATCATCGTTATTATTATTATTATTATTATTATTATTATTATTATTATTATTATTATTATTATTATTATTATTAAAAAAATTTTAAATTTGAAAAGTGAAAAACGCCGAATGACGACGATGAAAAAATGCGAAATGATGAAACGCGCGGGGGGGCAGTTGTTGTTTCATTAATTTATTAATTATTAATAATAATAATAATACGGTTATTATGTTGTTATATCATTATTATCATTTATTGATATTCGAATTCTTATTTATATTTATTTTATTTCAATTTTTAAATAGATCGATTGCAAAATTGAAATTATTATTATTTTTTTAAAAATAAACTTATTAAAAACATCGTCATTAATAAATAAATAAATAACATAATTAAACTCTTAAAAAATTATTAATATTAATATTATTATTATTATTATTATTATCATCATTCGAATAAATAAATAAATAAACTTTTTTTTTTACAACATGGTACAAATTTATTACGAGGGGAAAAAAACGAGGTTATTAATAATAATAAAGTTTAAGTTATTATTATTAATTATTTTATTTAATAAATTAATTTCACGTCGGAAGAAAATTATTATTAATAATAATAATAATAATGATGATGATGATGATGGTAGTTATAATAATAATTTTTTATCATTAATTTATATACATATATATGTGTAGTAACGTCGTAGAATTTTTATTACCTCGCACGCAAAATTACATTTTCATCGTTATCATCATCATCGTTATCATTATTATCATTATTATTATTAGTATGGTTACACTCGTAAAGCAAACGTAAATCGCGTTAGAAATTTATACGGTTATTATTATTATTATTATTATTATTATTAATAACGTAAGTTACGTAGCAAAATTATTTTTGGTAATTTTTTATAATTAAAACAGGCGCTGGTAATTAATTATCATTATCATTATTATTATTATTATCATTATCACTATTATTATTATTTTATGGATTTTCCATTCGCTACACCAATCATAAATTGATATGCAAAAAAAAAAAAAAAAAAAATTTGAAAGGATTTGATATGTTGTAAGGTACCCTTTTTCCCCTTTCCCTTTTATCCCAACTTATCCCCTTTCATCCCCTTGACTCGAATTAACAACAACAACAACACCTAACGTTTAACTATTATTATTATTATTATATTTGATTATGACGGTTTACGTCCGAGTTATCCCGGATTTTTTTACCCGATCCTATAGAATTTCGTCTTTTTCGTGAGCGTCGGCCATCTTGAATCCTACTTATTATTCCCAAACGAAGATCCGGTGACAATAATAATATGCGTGGAGTTAACAGGAATCGTTTCGGGGGGTGGTGGGGGGTTGGAAGAAGAAAAAGAAAAAAATTTTTCCTTATTGACCACGCCCAAATTTTCTGAACTTGTGTGTTCAGAGCGTTTAATATAAACAATGCAATCCTTTACACCCTTAAATTATTATTATTATTATCATCATCATTATTATCATTATTATTATTATTATTACCACAAAAAGTTTTATTTATTACTAAAAGAATTTTTTTTATTTTTTATTTATTATTATTAATTAGACGACAATCGATCATTAAGATCCCTCACCCCCCTTTATTCTCCCTATAATTAACAACCCTTACCTGTTTACCCTCCCCCTCGTTTTTCTCCCTAACCACCCCCTCTCCCCTCACCCCGGGGCGAAACTCATTAAATCTTTTTTTTTTTTTTTATAATTTTATGAAACCTTAAAATTATTATTTTTATTATTATTATTAACTTTGATAAAAACTTTAAAAGGTTTTCATTAATTAAAAAAAAAGAAAAGATAGAAAAGAAAATCTGAAAAAGGAGGAGAGAGGGAAGGGGAGAGGAAGGTAGAGGAGGAAATGGGGAACGGGGGGCGAGTAGAGAAATAAGAAAAGATTTTTTTCCTCCTCCCCTCCTCTTTTAACTTTTAATAGTTTTTCCGACAGCAAAATCGTATTAATTAAAAAAAAAAAAAAAATTGAAAAGTTTTCTCTTATTTCATTAGCTGTTCTTTTCTCCTCCTCCTCCCCATCCCTTTCCCTTTTGCTCCCCATCCCCAACTTCACCCCTCACGAAACGTACTTCATATTTCGTTTAAAGAATTTCGATACTTTTTTTTTTTTTTTTTTCCAAAATGACGAAATCATTATGGAATCTTATCGGTTAAAAGAAAAAAGAAAAATTATTCAAAAAAAAGGCAATAAAATCATTTAAAAATCAAAAAAAAGGAAAAAAAATAAATGTCGGGAAAATAAAAGGAATAAAAAGGAAAGAAACGGGATAACAAAAAAAAATGAAAAAAAATTCCAGGTTTTAAATGGAGGCGGGAAGGGGGGGGGGAAAAATAAATCGTAGCGAGAGTAAATTAAAAAAAAAATCCGTTACTCCTCCTACCCATCCCCTTTTCGACCTTTGACCCCTTCGAATATTTGGTTAGACACAAAAACATTTCCTGGAAAAAAACCAAAAAGGAAACGGAAGTGAGAAAACATGGCGGAGATAATATGAAAGGGGGAGGGAGCGGGGAAATCCTACCTATCTGACCTGAAAAGGTTCGGGGGAATTTTGTCGAAAGTTTTTTTTTTTTTTATAAAATTAAATCGTCGCAATTTCGTCGACACATACGAAACCTTTTTTTTTTTTTTTAATGAAGTGACAGACAAAACGAAAGAAGAAAGTAACAAAGAGAGAGAGAGAGATAACAACGTAACATACAAAAAAAAAAAAAAGCAGAAGACGTGAAAGGTAGAAGATGGATGAACTGTTAAGCTCATGTTCCGTATGTGTATCCATGCACATCTCAAACCCTTTCTACACAGGTTTAACTTCCCTTTCACCCCCTTCCCACCCCCTCTCCCTCTCGCACGCACGCACGCACCCACCTCATCTCTCCGTCTTTCCACACCGCTTCGCATTTTTATTTCATTATTCAAAAGGTTCATTTTTCAAAAAAAAAATGGCGCGCATTAAGCTCGGAATTTTTTTTCTTTTTTCCCTCTTTTATATTTTTTTTATTTCATCCATCCATCCATCCATTTTTTTTCTTCCCTACGCATACTAATAATGATAATAATAATAATAATAATAATAATTTTTTTTTCGTACGAATTTAAATTTCACACGTCGAAAGGTTACAATAATAATAATAATAATTCCACTACACACGTCTCTCGGATGATTTATTATTATTATTATTATTATTATCATCATCATCGTAGTCGTCGTCATAATTTTCGTCGGTTGTAATAATAATAAACGTGTTGGCAGCACTGATGATGACGTTGTTATTAATAAAAAAAAAAAAAAAACGACGACGACGGCATCAATTATGAATGCTCATGATTTTTTTAAAAGCTTTACGAAATTCCGGATTGAATATCGTATATATGACGGGATTAACGAACGAATTGAAGTATCCCAACCACGTGGTGAGTATGAATGCGGCCACTCCAGGTTGGCAAGACTGCGATAGTTTCGTGCAGAGAGCATCGAGTATGTTGCATGTAAAAAACGGAACCCAACATATGAGGAAAACCCCTGCGAAAAACATTCGAAAACAAAAGAAAGAAATTTGGCAACGCTGAATTTTTCTTTTTCCTATGACGTAACAATCAAAAGAATTTTTCTTTTTAACGGACGTACGGGCGGACGAAGAAACGAACGCGCTAAAAACGCGAGGGAAATTTTTTTTTTTTTAAATAGCAGACGACGCGCGCGTTTTTTTTCTTTTAATAGCAGACGATATTAAATTTTTTAACTTACCTAAAACAATGGCTAGAGTCTTTGTCGCTTTCCTTTCTTTTTTCGCCGTTGATTTTTCCCTTTTTTTCTTTGATGCTTTGTTCACTTTGTATATCGTGAATCTCGTGCCCATGCTCGAAGATTTTTGATCCTTATCCTGAGCCGTTTGAGAATCCGTTGATCTTTGACCTTTTATCGGTGATATACCACTTAATTTATTCTGTAAAAAAATTGAAAAAATTATAATGATGATAATAATAATAAGCGAGAGCGTTATTAATGATGATGATGATGATGTTCTTACTTTGAACTGAGGTTCCGTGTGGGCCCTCCTCGGCGGACTGTGATGCGGCGATATAAAATGACCTATTTGAGCATCTTCGAGATTCGATGCGGCGTAACCGCTGTCGTTGTTACCATTCGGATCGTGAAACATCGATTGCGGCGTTGTCGTTGTCGCGACAGCGCTAAAAATATTAATAATAATAATAGTAATAATGATGCTTTTGATAAGGTTATCGTGAAAGGACGTGAAAGGATAAACTCACGCAGCTTCTTCGACAACCGTCGAAAGTATGAATTCAGTAGATTTGTCGTTTGATATGATTTCACAATCTTCCGCGCACAACGTTAGAGTTTTTATCTCGTCCGAACCCGGAGATCTTTCGGCTCCTTCATCTTCCTGTGACACAATCAATAACAATTCAATCAATCATTCTCTCATTCTCACCCTCCCCCTTTTTTCATCCCCTCCTTCATCATCGTTTTCTTCCTTCTGTCGTTCTTTTCGCATGGTTAATTCTCTCTCTCTTTCTCTCCCTCTCTTTCGTACTTTCTTCTCTCTCTTTTCTTTTTTTTTTTTTTTTATTAAAATAACTATTCAAAATCATAAATTTGACTTTATTCTTTTTCTTTTTTCTTCTTATAAAAATAAATAAGAATCAGACAGGTGGAAAACATGTCTGACCTGGATAAAGAAAAGAAAAATTTTGTTCAACAAGTTGTTCGTTGTTGAACAATTTTTTTTTTTTTTTTCAGTTTAGTTTAGTTTAGTTTTTATTATTATTATTATTTAGTTTTTTTTTTTTAATAATAAAACTTGTTTTTCTTTCTTTTTTCTTTATTGCATTTTTTTTGTTGACCCTTTTTTCCTCCAGACAAATTTATATTAAAAAAAAAAATTTTATTATTATTATTATTATTATTGAATAAATATAGGAAAGTAATAAAAGAGAAAAGAAAAACATATAAAATTGTTTTTTTTTTATCGACTTACGTTACTTCCGCTTCCGGTATTTGTTGGCCTTTCGTCTTCCAACGGTATACCTTTACCGTGTCTCAAAGGTTCACCGAGTGCCGTTTCCGCTAATCTCCTCGTTTGTATGACGTTTTCTATAACCGACCCTGGTAGTATATCACGAGCGTTTGGTTTTTTATTAGCTTTTGCTTTTCTGGCACGATTTCTCAAAGCCTTTGATAAATGGAAAACAAAAAAAACGAACGTGACGTGAATATTTTCCAGCAGCAGCAGCAGTAACAACAGCAAAAATCGATAATATTACCTTGAATATATTATAATATAAAAAAACCATAATTATACAAGGTATGTAAAAAGATGATAGAGATGAATATATTATGAAATCGCTGTTGTAAAATAGGCAAAGATCTGGAAGGCGATCTGGAGTGTTGTTGAGTCCGAGCACGATCGGACTTCCTATGGCGGCCGATATGACCCAAACCAATGCAATCGTAGACCAAACTCTTTGAGTGTTTTTATGTTTTGCATATTTTATTGGTTGAGTAACTGCTATGTACCTGGAAATAAATAAAATTATAACTTTTTAATTTATTAAAATATTTTTTTATCGGAAGTAATAATAATCACTTGGAACTGGGTCAGGACTATAAGGAGGATGTGGTAAAACATTCCAGCCTAGCTCCAGTAGTTTTTGTCACGTGGCTGAAGATGTGTCGGGCCTAGCTTCGGTCGTTTTTCTTTGATGGAATTATTTAAATTAGTCATCCTCTGAATTTATGGTCTGATTTCGTGGTGGCAGCAGCTCACCATACCTTCGTAACCCCACCAAACTGATAACAGTACCTTTTTTTGGTGAAAGTCAGACTTAGAAGTTGTCGATGCCTGTTTCCCTTGCCTAGAACAGGGTCTTTTCCTCAAAACTTTGTCATAGACAACCCACTTTTCATCTCCGGTGACCTTTCACTACAAAAATGGGTCATTCGCATAGCGTTTAAGAAGCATATCGCAAAGACCAAGTCGTCTTACAGTCCCCAAGGATATGCGTCAAGCTTCTTTCGATACCCATGACGCCACAGACGGTTTTGGACGCACGTATGTGACACATCTAGCTTCTCAGCAATGTCCCTTGTCGAACTAAACCGATCATAATCAATGAGGGTCTTTATTTGGTCATCATCGACCTCCACTGGACACACAGAGCGCTCTTCATCTTTCAAAGAAAAATCTCCAGAACGGAATTTTCCGAACGAGTATTGACACTTCCGCTCTATTAAGACTTCATCACCATACACAACACAGACACTCTAACACCCTTCCGAAAATGTGGCGGAAATGCTCGCTTTGACTCCCCAAAATTCTCAATGAAAAGTTTAAACAAAACAGAAGGACCCAAATAATAATAATAATAAACGAATTTAAACGTATTTCAAAAACATGTACAGCACTATCTGTCGGTGAAATTCGCAACTACCTAGTCACAAGCCTGATTTATGTCTCTATGAATTTTTACGTCACACTCAAAGAAAAGTAATTCATTTATGAAAAATCGATCGAAAATGAATAAAAAAAAAATTTTCCTCCAGTTATATAAAAAAAAAAATTATTAATCAAATCAAATTTCTAGAAAAATTTTCTTTTTTTTTTTTTTTTAACTGGAGAATTTATTATAAAAAAAAAAAAAAAATTTTTCTCCAGATTTTCTTTTTTTTTTTTTTTATTCGCATCAATTTCAGATTTTTTGAGACGATACGTGACGATAAATTTGTGTCATCGAATCGTATTTCCGGTCAGATTAATTTTCACTGATTTTCTTTTTTTTCCTGGAAAAGTTTCCAATACGTTTTTTTTTTTTTTATTTGTAAATTGAAAAAACAAAAACAAAAAAATTTTTTAAATTTAAACCTTTTCCCTTCCCCCCCGGAAAAAAAAATAAAAAAAAATAAAAGAAAATTTTTCCTGGAAAAGTTGAAAATATTTGAAACTAAAATAAAATAAAAAAAAAACTAAAGGAAATGGGGAGAAAGGAAGTAGACGAAAAGGAAGAGAGAGAGAGAGTGAGTGGGAGAAAAAAAACAAAATGTCGGATAAAAGAAAACAAAGTAAAAGATGAGTTATAAAACAAACAGAAAAAAAAAAGAGGGAAACAAACTACTTTTTATTATTATTTTATTTTATTTTTCGCCATCGTCGACGCAAACAAACAAACAGACAAACAGACAAACAAACAAACGAAAAAAACGAAAAAATGTATTTTTTTTTTAAAAAAGAGTTCTTTCAGTTTTAATAATAAAGTAAACGTTTTTGTTGTTTTCATTTTTTTTGCTTTTTTATTCCAGTGATTTGTTTTTTTTTTGGAAAACGACAAACAACAAACAACAACAACAGCAAAAAAATCTCAAAACAATTTTTAAATAATACTTAATTAAGTTAAAAATAATTAACACTCGAAAAATTTTCAAAAAAAAAAAAAAAAAAAAAAGTCTTTTGTTGTTATCTTCATGGAGAAGTTTATTTTTCGTCTGCTTTTTTTTTATGTAATCTTTTTCGTAAACAAACAACAACAACAACAACAACAAAAAATAACATTGTCGCTTCCACTCACTCTATCTCTCTCTCTCTCGAACGATTTGTGTAAAAAAAAATTTTTTTTTTTTTTTTTTTATGCTGGAAAAAATTTAAACAAAAGAAGATAATAACTGGAAAATTAAAAATGTTTGGTACGAGTGTGCGATGTTATAAATAATAAAAACGAATTTGCCATTATTATTATTATTATTATTATTATTATTATTATTATTATTATTATTATTATCATTATTAAATTAACAAAAGTAATTATGACCAAAAAAATTTTTTTTTTTTTTTTTTTTTTTTTTGGAGAAAATTCTGGAAAAAATTTTTATTTAAAACGGACCGGAATAAAAAACAAAATAATAAAAACATAAATAACGACGTAATATTAAAAAAGTTTTTTTTTTTTTTTGGTGAAATCGGTCGTATCGTTGCGCGTCTGTTGGCGTAAATGCTGTTGTTGTTGTTGCTCCTGCCACCCCTTGTTGCCTCCCTCCCTCCCACTTTTACTCCTCCTTCCGGTTTCCGTTTTTATGTTGATATTTTTTGTATTTAATAAAAATTTTTTTATTTTTTTTGTAATCGTTTAATTTTAATTTTTTATTTTCCCTCATCCGATAATTAAAAAAAACCGTTACGAACAAATGAGATATTATTATTATTATTATTATTATTATCATTATTATTAATTTAATTGCTGGGATTTCGTTTTTTTTTTTTTTTTAATTATCTTGTTTGGTGAAAATTTTTAAAAAGTTCGAAAAAAATAAATAAATACGAAAGAAGGAAAAACAAAACTGTACAAAAGGTAAAGAAAAATGAAGAAATATACAGTGAGAGGAAAGCAAAAAGAGAGAGAGATACATGAAAAAACAGAATACTGAAACAGAGAAAGAATACAGAGAGAGAGAGAGAGAAAGAGAAAGAAAAAAGGGAAGGGAAAGTAAAATTCATATCAAAGAAAAAAGAAAAGAAAAATAGAAAGACTTTACAGAAAAAAAGAAAAAAAAAATAAAAAAGGAAGAGAGAAAGAGAAAAAAAAAGAAAGAAATAGAGAGGTATACGAAAAAGAGAAATAAAAAAAAAAGAAAATAAAGAGAAAAACATTTTTGAAAAAAAATAAATAAACAAGAAAAAAAAGGAAAAAGTAGAGGAAGGAGGAAAGGAGAGAAAGAAAAATAAAAAGATATTAAAGGAAAAAGGTAAAAAAAAGAAGAAAAAAGGAAGAGAAAGAAATTAAAGAAGAGAGAGAGAGAGAAAGAAAAAAGAAGGTTACAAAAAAAACATAATTAAGCAAAAAGAAGGAGAGAAAAAAAAGAGAAAGAAAAAAAAAAGAAAAGAGGAAAGAGAAAAAAAAGGAAGGAATAGACAGAGAAAGAA